CGAGATTGTGATACGAGTACCTATGTAGGAGTCACTTCGTCTTTTTTTCGTTTTTTTTTTCTTTTTTATTACAATTATTTTACTTCAATGTTTATTCCTTCCTTTGTTATCAATAAAAATCGTTACATAGTAGTTTGGGCCGCTGCTTGGCGTCAGACGAATCGACAAGCAACCAATTATAGTAATAATAGTAGCAGTAGAGTAGAGTAATAGTAGTAGTAATAATTGATAGCGGTATCGTGTGTACATGCTGTGTGTATGTGTGTGTGTATGCGTGAGGTTGTTCACCGTGCATCGAATGAATACGCGCTTACAGATACACGGCAGGAATTCGCGGATACACCGTCGATTCATTTTCGCGTACGAGAGGAGGAATCCTCCTCCTCTTCTTCTTTCTCGGAAATGGATTCTCTCGCGCAGTCGATTGCCGACGAATGCCGCGTATAGTATCGCGTTTCTCGCTTTTTGTTTGTCAACCGTTTGTAAACGAAGGAGACTCCCCAAAGGCCGAGAAAACCGACGCATAGGATGCGAAAGCGAAAGATAAGACGACGCGACCGCGCGATGCTGACGTCGGCGAGTCGAGCCAAGATAAGAAGACCGCGACAGGGGGATAAGAGCGCGAATAAAAACACTGATCAGGACCGATCCTCGCGTGCAAATGATAATGAACTCGTTATCCGACGTAGAGACGTACGAAGGGAGTCGGACGGAGGCTTCCGGCGATATATCCTATCGTACATCTTCTGTTGACGGAATGGTAAAGAGTTGGTCGGAGAGAAAGGAGTATATAAAATATATTTTATATTAAAAAACAGAGTGAAATAAAAAAATATTTAATAATTGCGAAACATTAATAACGAAATATTAATTTCGGCGTTCTCATGTATAAATGCATATTAATGATTGAAACTAGATTAGAGACGTCTTTATAACCGAAATATAAACTAATCGAGAAAAAAATTTATCCTCTTATTACGCCGTTATCCCCCCCTCCCCCTTCTGCTCGAACTTCTCGAAAGCTGACACTAAAGGTAATCTTTATTAGGCTCGTTTGCTGGACCTTTTCGAGAAATCTCGCTATAGCTCGATATACCTGCGAATGCATCTGCTGTGTAAAACACTATTCTCGCATGCACGCGTAAATGTGGCTGTACATGTGCGTGTAAATGTGTTTATAAATGTCGGTGTGAATGTGTTTTTTTTTTTTTTATGCGACTTTCTCTCTCTCTTTCTCTCTTATTCTCTCTCTCTCTCTCTCTCTCTCACCTTTTCATCGATAAAAATCTCAGCAGTTTATGACACATCGTTCGCCATTTTGTTTTATTCTTCTTACACATAGCAATAATAAAGACAGTAAATAGCTAAAAGGACCGTATCAATTCTTGGGGGGATGGGGGAGGCGGCCAGGATTGCGGCCAATCCGTGCCGTATCACCCGCTGCCGCATGCTCGCCCGCATTGTCATCGTTTTATCATCATCATGTTATTATCGCCGCCGCCATCGTTATCGCCATCATTATACTTTCGCATTTGCTCTCTTCTCACTCTCTCTCTCTCTCTTTCTCTCTACCTCTCGCTCTCTCTCATTCACCTCTTCCTCTCTCTCTCTCTTTTTCTCTTCTCATCTTCTTCGGCTCGCGCAGTCGATTTCAAAATCAATTCCTTTTCCATCGATTTTTCCGATCATCGATCATTCTTTTTATCTCTCACTCTGCATCTCCCATTCGCACTATCCCTTTCTCTCCCTCGCTCTCATCCCAAACGTTCCTCATACTTGCTCTCTCTTTTTCTCTTCCTCTCTTTCTCAACCTTACCAAATTTCCCTAATACTCGCTATACCTTTTATTCTCTCTCTCTCTCTCTTTCATACTCTCGCCCGCGCGCTCACCCTTTCGTGCCCTACGAAAAAGATTGTAAGCCTAACACACAATAGTTTATTATTATTTATTATCATTACTTCTTATATTTAATTCATACGTGTATATGTGTGTGTATTGTTTTTTTTTTTTTTTTCGTCAGCGAAACACCGCGTAAGCGGTCACAAAAGTTCGACGTGTCGCGCTCTTTCTCTCTTTTCCACTCTCTTATTCTCCATCTCTCTTTCACGTTTTCTCTCTCTCTCTCTCTCTCTCTCTCTCTCTCTCTCTTTGATATTCGTCAATCGATCGTCGATGTACTTTGTGCGCGCGTGAAGCTGGGTGCGTGAACGAAGCGGGTGTGTTGAGTGTATGATACAAGAAGAGATCGCTTCCGCGTACGCCGCATACGCGTGACCCGCGGACACGTGTCCTCGAAACGAGGACAGCCAAATTTCTCGCGCGGAAACGACCGCGCTTCCCCTCCGAAGAAAAAGCTGAACGAAAAGTGGAAGATGCGACGTCTCGCGTCCAAAGAGCCTCGCTGCTGGTCGCTTTCGTCGCGCGACAAATTGCGACGCGCGCTTCACAATCCATCGCGTTTCATGCTTTTATTTTTCCGATGGGAAAAAGACACTCGATCAGATGTTGTGAGAAAAGATCGCGAAGAATTCGTCACGCGCGTTTGTCGCAATTTATCGCGCTCTTTCGAGAATAGCACGCGCGCGGATCGCTCGCAAATCCTACACAATCGAATCCCGCGACGTCGATGTCATCACGCGTGATGCACAATATCATTCTATCACCGTACGGTATCGGCATTCCGGTATTGATCGTTGCGCTATCGATTTTCATCCGTCATCTCGGATATGCGATCTCGCGCATCGTCACAGCCGTTCGTTCGCGGAGTTTGCGAGCATAGAGAGCAGGTGTGTGGCACAATGATATCGGGATATCGGCATAACGATCATACGTGCCGATACGTTTTTCGACGTTCGCGCTTGTCACGCACCACCGAGTACACGCGCCTACGAGGATCTTAACTGTAGATGCTTAAGTACGTATACGTGTTTTGTCGTTTGTGAGAGAAGAGCTCCGAAAAGGATTAAAAGGAGGCCGCAAGAATGTCAGATTGCGTAAAAGAAAGGAGAGGGGAAAGGGAAGAAGGGTGCATCTCGTTGTTTACGTATGGTGCATGCGTAGATTCGCGCGCGTGCCTCTTTCTTCCCGTTCTCTGCGCGTCAACTCCAAAGGGTGGAAAAAAAAAGGGGAAAAAAAAAAGAAACAGAAATCGAAGAGAAGAGATTGATGACTGGAGCAGTAATGATAGTGGTTACTACTGTCGTCGCTCTGTGTGTTGTTGCTGTTGTTGCTGTTCTTCATTCGTGGGTTGTCGCGCGGCAGGGCTTGCGGCAGTTCCGGCGCGACTCGCGCGGCATGGCGCATTCCATTCGCTGTTCATTAAAATAATCGACCGATATCGTTTATTATTAATATTAGATATTTGTGTTGGGTCCCAGAGGTTACTGCAACAGAAAGCAGGATTAGAGTGCGGGTTAGTCGGTTGCGGACGTGATCGCGTAATATTATTTAATTAATCGCGAGATTAGATATAAAAATGGGAAGATTAGAACTTTAATCTCGCGGCTTATATTGATCAGGAAAAAAAAAATGTACAGTTCAAAGCCGCAAGAGACAGTCCATTTAATTTATATCATCGGAGTGTAATGGAATTGATAAGATAAACACGCGGTAGTCGCGACACGTGGAATCTAACGTTTAGCTTTACAAAGATACAATCGGTATCCCACTTTCTCCTTTACAGTGACAATCGGAGAATTTTTACATCGGAATTTAATCCATATTTTCTTTTTTTTTTTAGATGCGATTTTAACGCGAATAATTATTTATTCGCGAATAGAAGCGACATTCTTCGCGTTCTTCGTGAAAAAAGAGAGAAAATATTTATCATGTCGCGACTGATACGAATACGCAAGTGCAGCGTGATTAGTCATCGCGGCAAGCTGATATCAAGCTAAAACGTTCGCCGAGAATTATCCGCGTGAGTCACGCAGAGCTGTGCGTCGTGTCGCCTGAAAACCGAGCGTTCTCGAACACCGCCGTGTCACCAAGATCATTTGTTCGTCGCTCGAACGTCTCGCGACGAATGGACGATGACGTGGAAAATTCGCCTCGTCATACTCTCACAGAAGAGCTCGATTTCATTTTTCTACGAATATTGTATGAAAGATTCAATAATTATTCAACTTACTACAAGATATAAGACTAACTAGCCAGATATTTAACGTCGGAAAATGCCGCTCATATTTTGGTAATTTCCGGAAAATATTGCAAACGACTTTCTAAATTATTTCTAATCTCATTATCAACAATTTAAATTATCATTTAAATTATTTAAATTCCGTTATACACGTCTCATTAATAGGCGCGTTATTTCCTCCGTTTCGAGTAACGCTGTTGGTCGTTCATCGTTCGATTATCGGAATGCGATATACGGATATTTGTTCGCGTACACAAGCGAAGCATGTATGCACACAACCGGCTTGTATTCGAATTTGCGATACTGGAGTATCAGGGGCGCGAGTAATCTATGCTGACAAAGCGCTCACAAAGTGCAATCGTATGTTGAATCCCGTCACGAGAAATAACCGGGTAAAATCGATTTTTTATACTGTTTTATATATATAATTTTTCGCCCTACATATGCAGGCTGTGTTAAAATTCGAACATTTTGCATGTAGACAGATATGATAACATGTAAAAATATATCGTGTGTATAACATATTAATCAATTGTACTGGATATATACTATAATAATTATATTATATAGCTCTATTATGATAAAAATATTAGATTTATATAGACTCTTGATCAATGTTTATAATCGTGAGAATGCTCGAGTCATTATATAAAGAAGTCGATAAAAGCTCGGATAAGTTTACCTAAAGGGTAAAACTTTCGATAAAGCGACAGACTCTAGAAAATTCAAGTCTAGTCGTTCGGGAGTACTCTCTTTTCGAATAAATGCGCGTTGTCGATTACAATTTACGCGAATTACAGGAACGTAGACGAGTGCGAAGCAACGACCCGATGGAGGAGGAGAGAATGTTTTCCACAGTTATGCTTGACAGACGCGCGAAAACGCAACGGAGCGCACAATAGGAGCGTCTCTCTCCTCGCGAGTATGTCGCGGGATGCGCTATTGAGTGACAAGCCGATAATGATAAGCCCGTAATACACGACGAGCGGCTGCGGCAGGGAAACTCGTCGGTTAAATCGATGCGAGGGGGAGTCGTGAATAAACGTCGCGTTAATCAGCGACGCGGACCGGCACCCGATTTCGCACGCGGATACGTTTAGTGACGGTGTCTGAGCGAGAGATGTGCATGTACAATTCAGGCAAGACAGCTCATACCGTGAGACCTTGTCTAACTCGTTCTACGAAGAAACATTTGATAAAATGAAGAGCATTTCGTAAAATTTTACCGCCACGAGTCTGATGAATCCTGACGATAGGAGCCGAATTAAAAAATATTTGGCAGTATTAAAATATATCGCGCTGAATGATCGGAAATCGAACAATTTCGATGAAGAATGAATTTTACTCGATCCGAAATTTTTATACAAATTTTGTATAATATATAATACTCTGATATAAAATAATAATATAAATATAATATTTGAATATAGAAGATAATAATTCTCTTGAAAATAATAATAATACTTTATTAATTTGCTAAGAATATTCGTGGTATCGTTGACCTGTTTAAATATCTTAGTACTTTCTATAATAACGCAGATTCTTTCACGTATTTGTAAAGTTAATTAAATTTCATCATCAGGCAGACGCAGCGAATACAGGATCGAAAACTTTTGTTCGTAAGCGAGATTGGAAAGATCCCTCGAGCGCGAATTTATAAAGGAGGTAGATTAAAATATCTCCGCTACCTATATCTGCGCGAAAGTAAGAATCTCTGTACAAATTTAAAATACATATTTTCGAAACGAAATATTTCCCGGATTTCTCGCGATAAGATAACGAAATCGCGATCGCGACGATTTATTTCGAGGATTAAAATGTCTCTTTATTATCATACTGACCTAATAGCCGCAGGACACGAGGTACTCGCCCAGTTTTTCAACGACAGATGCGGCCTGTTGAGGCTGTATGGGGTCCTCGTATAGGGAGACAACTACGGCCTGCGTCGTCTTCATGCAGTGTACGCCGATTTTGCCAAGTTTTGCCCTTATCACACGGTCCGTGCCTGATAGGTAGATATACCTGCTGCCGGCTAAGGTAACGCCCGACGACGTCAGGATGTCCTGCTCCTCGAAGCTCTGCACTAATTTCGCGAGCTCTTCTTTACTTACCTGAAAATAGAGAGAAAAGCCTCTTATATTATCAGTGATGGCGCAGTGACAACGTAATAACGCGTTTAAGCTTTTCAGAGGAATGTAAATCCCGGGAGCTACGACCATCCACGTCATATAAGAGAATATTATATTATTATTATACGAGATTATAGGACGTACGTTACAAGACTTTGGTTTAGACATTCGTTAAATTTAGAATAAAGATTCTTTAATTTAAAAACAAGACACGCACTTTTCGAATAAAAATCTATTATTTCTCAAAATTAATCATAAAAATCTTATGCTGTTATACACACAAAATTAATATATAAAAATTATTCTTTTATATAAAAGTTAATTTAAAAATAATATTCATAAAAAATGAAAATTTATTCTTTTAATATTATTCTTTCCACAGAAAAAAACTGTCAATGAAAAATTCCTCAACGAAGAAAATGAATGAATTGAGAGAGAAAGAGAGAGAGGGAGAATAACGGGAGCAGCTATCCTTTGCGGCTTTCATTTATTAGTAAAATACGCGCACATCACGCGCGCTTGCGACATTATCTATTATTATATCACTGCGAACCGTGATGTTGACTCTTGATTACGCGAGAACGAGCACACCGGTACTTGTGGCAATCTGCAAACAAACGATCGTCTCCCGTCATTCATGCTGAATACACACATACAAGAGTGAATCTGTGTTGGAACCTAGGTATTTAGAAATACTACATTCTGTCTATTTCTCTATTTTATTCTCGCACAGATGTTCCCGAACCTTGCAAATGTATAAATAAGCATCTGCGCGCATTGTCTATCGAAGAATGCTTCTTTATGATCCAATATAAATCGAATCGTTTCCACCTCATTCCCATGATTAAAGGACTTAAAAAATTATTTTTAAAATTAGATACATCAGAAATATAATAAAGATTTAAATATCGCATTATGGATTCGTTCTTTTGAGATTAATTCGAGGGATATAATTATTTTGTTTTTCATTCTGCATTTCGATTCTCACTGAGACTTTTAAATAATTGCGAAATTATTTTGGGACTGATTAAATTTTAAGGAAAAAATTTAAGTAATAATACAAGAATGTTAATTACGCGGAAATACATCTCTTTGATGGAACAATCTCGTGTATCTCGAGCAATCGATAACATACCCAGCCGCAATTATCGAGTCCGCGATCTGAGGTATCTCAAGATTATCCGAGGATCAAACTTATGTATGAAAGATGCAATATCGTCGATGCACAGATAACGTCACTGGAATTTTCATAAGAGCAGAATTAGTTGCCAAACCAGCATCATCTCTCCCCCCCCCCTTCCCTTCCGTGCGACGTTTCCTATCGAAAATTTATTTCTGCGAAAAGTTTTAAGTTCGCTATCGAGTTGTACTTGCGATATTACTTGAGAGACACAGCATGTCAAATGAATTCCGCGAAATCCACATGCTAATCTATTTTTTATGCGTGTGAAAAAGCATAGCAAACATTGTTGACACCTTCTGCCCTTTTTTTTCTAAATCTGATACAGGATTATTAATGTGCGCATGAGCAAATAGAAACGTCCCGTAATTATTTATCGTTAAATTATCATAATCGTTTGTGCTCATGAAATTATTGTTAATAATGTCATCACGCCAGAGAGTTGTGCTTGACGTCCCGGCTACTTGGAAACAATGTAGAGTTTTTTTCCACGGTAGTATAAAACAATTCTGATTATAAATAACTTGAAAATATAAGATGATTCATGTTATTGTGAAATATGTTGAAGTTGGGGCAGTTAATATATCATTTCATGGCTCGCGGATAAAGAAACGATCATATCGTATTTTTGAAGTTACTATTTTATATTTTAATGTTATTGCTACCTGTGGATAAAATTTAAAATTACATCGTCGAAATAATTAATATGAAACATTAAACTCCAATGCAATAATGATATTTTTTTCATATTACGAAGAAATCATCTGCAAATTCTAAGAATGTGATGAAAAAAGAATTTGTTCCTCTATTGCTGGCGATAGATGCGATAAAGGAAGACTTAAAAAAAAAACATCGCGATGTTCCCGGGAGGGATATCTTGGAAATATATACACGTGACAGATCTCCGAGAAAAGATCACAGATTTCAAAGTCAAGTGTCTCAAAGTCAATTACTCCTTTAACCTTTTGTATCTGACGGATAGGCTGACATGGACGAGAGATAATGAACGATAAGAGTCACATAATTCATGTCAGCGAATCGATCGTATACTACTGCAATCGAGAATAGTTACATAAGGCTTGATAACGACGAGCCTTGTCGAAGCTGACACATCTACAGTCTTAACGAGTTTCTCTCATTTCGCAAAAGCAAAAGCGACACGATGTGAAATGGCTCGATGGCCCTCGAACTTTTTCCTCCGTCGATTCTTCAGTCACGGATTTCTTTGATGAATTTAGAAAATGGATTTCTTTTCAACACGGAGGAAAACTCGATAAATTCTGATGTAAATAAGCGTCTCCTTTTTCTTCCTTCTAAAGAGCGCGCGAAGAGCTAGCTATTCTTCACGAGACGTTGTAAGAGAGAGCTATTCTCTCCATAAAGAGTGACGTAGACGGATAGCGTCCGTGAAAGTGGATCGATGCACGCCTAAATGTCCACGGCGCGTTGCAGTTAATCCGGGATGATCTAAGACGGCCTTGAACTATAAGTGCATCCGATTACGAACGTCTTTGTACGGCAGACCGTCGTCTTCTTTCTCACGCTCATGCTCACGCCCGAGGCTTGCTTTGTTGTCCCTCGCATGCTATTTCCGCCGAAACGTCACATTAAATACGTTCCGGTAAAGTTCAAAATACGCTTCGCGAAAATCGGATCTTTTTGACAAAATTCTGTCGAAGTTGTTTTCTCTACCTCGATAAATAACAGTGCTTTATTCTTTGATCAATTTCACGTAACGGAACTTACTTCAGCGAAATATTGATTTATCGCTAAGCTCTCTCTATATTTAAGATTATTTAATAATTAAAATAGATACGACAAGCTTTTTTCGTTGAGGAATGGATTTTGTATAACTTGACGTAGAAATAATTAATCGAGAGAAAGAACGTTTAACTTTTGCATTTTCCGCTCACGATACGTAGAAAAGATTTATCTCTCGTTATCCTCGCTAAGATTCACTATTTTAATGTGTGGTATATGAAAAAAAAAAAAAAATCTTTTTAGTGTCTTCTTTAATTTTCTTATCCTAATATACATAATCGCAATACACGAATCTGCAAAGTGTATTTAATTGCTTCTTAATGTCACGTATTATCATCCGCTCGGCGTAACGTTTATGAGTCAGAACTATATGATTACGTTTTTCCTTGGCTTGCGTATCGATAACGGAAAAAAGCTCGTCCCACGTTTATCAGCGAGCCGATAAAGTACGCCACACCATCAAGAATATCTTATCCTGTTGCGCGTTGGCGGGAAAATAATGTCCGCTTTCTGTTTAACTCTAGCTTGTTTCTCGCATCGTCTCGGTGATGACAATGCCGTTCGTGCATATTTAATTATTTCGCTCGCTTACTATATTTTCGAAAAATCACAAAAGATGTCAAAAAAAAGCATAGATGAAAAGCATAGACGTAAACCTAAAACTGCTAAAAAAGTTTTTATAAATCAAACATCTTCTTTTTTCAGAATTTTGTTATAATTTCGCTTGATATTAAATATCATTATTGCAGAATAAAGTTTAAAGTCATCCTTTTATTAATTTTCCAAAATGTATGACGAATAAAAAATTGTATCTCGAAAGAGGAGACTCTAAACTCGCTTCAAGCGTACGAAGCGTGGGAAGAGAATAATAATATTTATAATCGTGCATAGAGAGAAGTTCACTTGAACATTCGCATCTGATTGCGCGATCGAAACGCATCGTTCGAGAACAATTAACTCGGAGTCATCGAACTTCGACAAGCTGTCTCTGCAACAACTGTATGATCGCGAAGACGCTAAACAAAATTCCGCGACTCGTTTTGCGCTACTTATATTTAGCAGCGTCCGGACTTGGGAGATATTCTCGTCGGGCCAGACGAGAATAGTGTCCCCTCTGGCATATCGATTTGAGACGGTTTGAGAATGCTAAACCAGGCGTGTGAGTCATGATAAGACCCCGAGATGGGTGACACGGGCCCACCTTCCGGTGTGGTACGGCCCTGAGAGCGATGAATCATTCGGTCGAAGCTAATGCTTCATATTCTGGTTTAATCCTTCAAGTACAAACGTCGAGATTAAGCCCGTAAATTTTTTCTTAAACGATAAGATTACATAAAATATAATATTTTATGAACAAATTATATAAAAAAAAAATATATATATATATATATATAGATCTTTTAAAAATATATTTATGTATAAGGACACAAGATAGCTAATAGCTTGATACACTATAGTAATGTCATTTTATGCTGATTGATAGAAAATAAATCAAGATTGTGTATCATACGGTTGCAAAAGTTCAAAGAGAACATTTTCGCAGCTAAAAGGTTAAAAGTTTGTCGATCCGGTTTGAACTGGTTTTACAAGCCGGATTAACGAACACTCTCGTCAGCTTGATCCTCTCTCGTCAATCGAGAAAATAAATTGCGATAATTAACACCGAGCTAATCAGGAAGGAATTGTAACTTTGTAGAAACCCTCCAACGGTGAATCATATTAATCGTGTGATAAATGCAAGGTATGTTCCTTCTATGATTTTATTTTAACTATGGAAAAAATAATCAATTTTTAATTCTTCTATCTTTTTCATCGATAATTTTCGAATATAAACTCTAGAATGCAATAAAATCTTATCGCTTGCGTCAATTAAAGTAAAACTTTACTATTATAACTTATCTTTTGGATAAAATTACGAGCACAATTCTTCAGATTTTCAGAGATGTTTGAGATACAAAGAATGTATTAAATATTAAATAATATATATTTTTTTTAAACTGCACACTACGAGATATACATACATATATATAAACAGAAATAAAAAATAGAAATATATAAAGGAATAAAAAATTTTATAATACATATATGTATATTTTAAACTGCACACACACAATAAAAGGACTCTAATTTGCTGCATAATAAATTTTATCCTTCGTTATTAGGAGCGTTACTAGTTTCAAGACGCGAAAAGAAGGCACACGATCGTTCTCTTCCATTTAATCTCAAGGAAATAAAATTGGAGCCATTCGATTAATAAGGTCGTGTCTCGCGTTCGTAGCCCGTCTCGAAGTACCCGAAGAAGTGATTCCAGCACTGACGTTTCCGTCTTATAAGGAGTGCTAATTTATATATCCGATCTCGGCGAAGGCCTTGTCCCGAATCGGGCTCCTCGATGCACCCGGTTTCGCGACACAGCACTGCGAGAGATTTTGCCGGCCGGCATCGCCATTTTTGCGACCGGAAAGTGCGCGCGGGGCCACAGGCTGCAGCTGGCGGTGACCTTAACTCCCGATCTCTCTCGTCTAGCCATGAATTCAGTAAGAGTAGCCATGTGTGACCGCACTCCTAACCTATCCTAATCTAATCGACGACTGTCCTGCGAGGGAACAGTTTCCGCGATCAGCTAAAAGCTACTCCATTCTCTCTGCTCTGTTTTGCTTTTGCTCTTCAACGAAAGTTTTGATATTCTCTCCGTCGCGTTTCTAATCTAATCTATATAATATATAGCTATTAGAAAGAGAAAGAGAGATAGAGAGAGAGAGAATTTTTAAATATAGTCTCTCTTATATAAGAAATTAGATTTAATATCGAGCTTTTGATGTAATTCTTTTTTTCTTTTCTTTCTAGCCGTAATGCTACATAATTTAATCGCTTCGGGAAGAATCACTTAAATATATCAATCAACTTTAATATTTTATGCCGAGAACGATCTCTTGATAAAAAGAAAAAAAAAAGATAAAGGAACCACATTTTTTGTCTGGAAGATAAGAATCTCTTACTGTTATATACTCTAACCTCTTTCTCTTTCTGAAGTCGCAAAGAGAATTTTTCTTAATCCTCTATTCCCTTAATCCTATCAATCGACATTCAACGATTCAACAATCTCCACCAGTTTTGCATCCATTGTCACGAACGTAGACATCACTTCCGCATGTCGGTGGCATCGAGATCCGAACCGGTTTCAATGCCAACTTGGCGAGAAGCCGAAGTCTTTCGCGATGATTATCCCCGCTGACAGGTTTACCGACAGGATTCGCGACGAGTTTCAGAAAGTGCAACGCGGAGGGCGCGTCGATCACAATCGCTTTCACTGCGATTCGAAGAAAGAGAGACGAGAAGAAACATATTTTTTATTTTTTTTTTATTTTCCTTTTTCAAGAGTCGACCATTGTGCGACAACGAGAGAGTCGCGATAGAAGTCTGAGCAAAATATTAGGAAAGACGGGGTTACCGTGAAGTCGAGAAACGTCCTAAACGACGAAAAAATATCTCTCACACGTGGTAATTGACGGGTTTAAGATTCGCAATGTGCCGTGTTTTTCCTGTAATCATCGTTATTATTAGCCTCATGATTTGAAGACGCACGAAACATCACCTTGCAATTGTAGCTAATTTACATTTTCGTACAAGGAAAATTCAAAGAGAATCTGGATTTTTCTTGAAAATATTTATTTGGACAAGAATCATCGAGTAACTTGCAGTTGCGTGAAACGAAATGGAGGATTATGAAAGTCCTATAAATATGACTACACTCTCTCTGCATATATATATATTATATGCAGAGATAACAATTTACTAGGAAAATAATTTTAAAAAAATATTAAATAACAACTATCGATTTTAATCATAATCGTTGATAAAAATGTCTCTTTGAGGAAGATTGTCGACTTTGTCCTTATCAAAGTGCGGATTAAGAAAGGTAATAAATTTATCAGACGTTTCGCTTTTATTATTGCTAAAAACCAGCAAAGCATGTAATGTAAAATGAAACGTATGTGACAAACAAAAAGATTAATTAAAGTATTTGACTTTAGCTCGAAAAAAATAAAATGACGAACGACAAGTAGTATCGTCAACACTCGACGGTAATACAATATCGATAATATCCGGAAAGCTTTATTAGAGCCGGATACTCGTGACGAAACACCCATCGGGGATTGCGGAAAGAAAAAGAAAAAAAAAAAAAAAAAAAAAAAAGAAAGATCATCCCACAGTCCCACTCGGTCGCACAACCTCTCTCGCGCCTACGTGCCTACGCTCGTCGGCCAGGCTAACCTAAAAATTCGATTCGCCCCGTCCGGCGGATGCTCGTTCTCGCCCGGAAATCCTCGCGGACTCACCGATACTACAAGCTTACACGTCGACCGCGATCGTGCTCGGTCATCGATTAAGAAACGTCGTGATCGCAGACAATGGACCACCATTTCCACGTCGCGATGCGACAGCGCAACGTGCCCGGCGCGTTGATAGAAGGCGGCCATGTTAAGCGTCGCCATCGTCGCCGAAAAAACCGTTGCATAGATTTCGAGAACGAGCGAGAAAGCGTGCGTTATAAGCTTCATTTCGGAAAAATCGTGTCTCCGCACAAACGCCCATCTCTTTGCCGAACGATGGGAGATCGCTTCCTCGTCGTAAGATTCGTCGCGTTTCTCCCATAGGTGTGACGCAAGATCATCGTCATCGTCGTCGTCGTCGTCGTCGTCGTCGTCGTCCCGTCGCTGAAATCATCGGCACCGGTTTTTCGAAGCGCCGCACGTCCCGAAGGCGGGAGGAATTTTTGAGCGAATACCTATTGCCACACCCTGTCCGAGGCGCTCGATACACGAATCGATCCTCTGCCGGCTTACTCACGCGACGCACGCCCCATGTGCTCTCGCCGTCGTCGATTTCGACGGGGAAATCGTCTCGTCGACGAGGGCACTCGTGCACTTGACTCGAGTCGATCGATTCGTCGGGCACCTCCGGGGATCGTAGCGCAAGAGAGATAAATAGATAGATAGATAGATAGACAGATAGAAAGAGAGAGAAAGATGGAGCTAGCCGGTCAGAGCGAAACATGTCCGCCGCCCCCGAGAGCGTGCGACCCCGTCCGTCGTCGTCTCCCGCGGACTCTCGCGGAAGCCGACGACGATGACTCGACGGTCGCCTCGCGACCGGCCGGCCGGCTGGCTGGCGAGCCGGATACGTCTACGTGGCACTTGCATTTCGGGGTTAGAAAGTCCGACCGACGGACGGACGACATGCCGCGCGACGCTCGGTCGAACCGGTTCGTATACAGGGAGCTCGAACGAAGGTTCGGGCGAGCCGCGCGGACGATCTCGCCGGAGCATCTGTCCTCTCTCTCTCTCTCTTTTTCTTTCTCCTTCCTTCTCGCTCTTTCATTGTCCTCGCGCTTTCTCTGTCTCTTTCTCTCGCGTCGACAAAGCGCGTTTTACTCGCGATCGAGGAGGGCTCTCTTTACTCCGCGCACTTTCCCTTTTATCGAGGGGGCGTGCTACCGGCTGTATGATGCTTCTCCCTGCGTTCTTATCCGCCCCGTCACTCATTCTCTCTCTCTCTTTCTCGCTCGCACTTCAGTTATTTCTCATTCACTCGCTCTCTCTCTCTCCCTCTTTCTCGCGCGCGCGTTTGTCGGAGTATTCTCTTTTGAAATTGTACTCACTTCGAAGCCCTCGGATTTCGCCCATACGTTGCCATCGTGTCCGGCAATCGCCGCTTTGGTAACACATCTCGACGCGAGCAACTGCTTATCAACGTAATCCTGCCAGCTCATTTTTGAACACAAGGGGGAAGGAGGCGATCGAAAAACTGTTCACACTACGCCACACTAGACGACCGCAACCCGTCACCGACTGTCTCGTCTCGCGACTACCGATACGCGGCTCTGAAACGCCGGTCGTGCTGCCACCCTCCTCACCTCTCTATCCCCGCCGCCCCTCCCTTCGACGATCCGCCGTCACTCGCCGAGTCGTCCTTCGCACGGCCTGTGCTGTCGCGCCCTCTAACGGATATTTCCATAACCAATGGTTGTGTTCTAGGGATATTCGGATAATCGAATTGTCAAAGTATTTTACTATTCGATATTTCGATCGTTTGTATTTATTGGCTATCGAATAGAGATTTTTTTTAAGTCCCGAAAATTATTCTAATTGATAGCCAATTGTGTGACATTGTTTCGCGCAAATTGTCAAAAAAAAAAAAAAAAAAAAAAAAAAAAAAAAAAAAAAAAAAAAAAAAAAAAAAAAAAAAAAAACCGTTTTACTTGGAAACATTTCTAGTTTGATTTTGCTATAGAATTTTTAGTCCACTGACAATCTATTATATTTATATAATCATAGCTTTAAGCTTTCTAGGCGGGACGGTCTACGCAACTTTAAAAGACTTTTTAACCGCACGTGTTTGAAATAACATAACCTAAAATTGAATTGGATGATTAAATGTTAAGATGTACGTGTATTAAGTAACTTTTTCGAGTTTGAAGCAAGTCTTATAAAAAAGGAAAAACAATGGACGATGACACAGTAAAACATAAGAGTCATAGAGATCGCAATGCGGGCCGCAAGGCAGAAAAGAAAAAGGCTAAAAAGGAACAGGACACAACATCGGATAAACCGAAGAATCCGAAAGCGTTCACATTTAACTCCGCGATTAAAGCAGAGAGAAAATTTAGGCGCAAGCAAGATCTCGAAACAAAGAAACAGCACATACCTTTAGTTGATAGAACACCCTTAGAGCCGCCACCGATCTTGGTGGCTGTGGTAGGTCCACCGAAAGTGGGAAAATCTCTGGTTATTCAATGTTTAATTAAGAGTTACGTCAGACAGCCTCTGACCAATATTCTTGGTCCGGTCACTGTCGTGTCCGGCAAGAAACGAAGAATCACATTCATGGAATGCAACAATGATGTAAACAGCATGATCGATATTGCCAAAGTGGCAGACTTGGTGCTTTTGCTGGTGGATGCCTCCTTTGGATTTGAAATGGAAATATTTGAATTTTTAAATATATGTCAGGTGCACGGCATGCCCAGAATAATGGGTGTTCTCACTCACCTGGATTTGATAAAGAATGCGAAACAAATGAGGAAAACCAAGAAGACACTGAAGCATCGCTTCTGGACAGAAGTGTATGCTGGTTCCAAATTGTTCTACCTGTCTGGATTGCTGCACGATGAATATCTTCGTACGGAGATAAAGAATTTGGCGCGTTTTATATCGGTTATAAAATTTAGGCCATTGACTTGGCGCACCACTCATCCCTATATACTTGCTGACAGAATAGAAGACTTGACATCGCCAGAATTAATTAGAAAGAATCAAAAAGTTGACAGAACTGTTAGTCTGTACGGGTATGGATAAAAATAATTTGAATTTTTTATTTTAAGTTATGCTTGTATCTGAAACATATTTTTAAAGTAATCTATATTTTTATATATTAAAATTTTAATCATATATTTTTAAAAATAATTCATGATATTTGTTTCTAGGTATGTCAGAGGAATTCCTTTGAACAAAGAGACATCCATTCATATACCAGGTTGTGGGGATATGAGAATCAAGGACGTGAATTTTCTACCGGATCCCTGTCCACTTCCAGAACAGATAAAGAAGCGAGCTTTAGTGGAAAAGGAACGACTAATTTATGCCCCGTTTTCCGGCGTCGGCGGTATAGTTTATGATAAGGATGCAGTGTATGTGGAATTGGGCGGAAGCCATTCTTACAAGGACGAGGATACAGGATTAGCGGGCGCTCTGATGGATACGCAGGAGACGCTTGATCAGAAATTGCAACACAGCGAACTGCAATTGTTCAGTGATGCCGCGCCGATAAAGTCAGAGGACGTGAATGAAAGCATGGCTCCCTACTCGGGCGAATTAGTAATGGATAATGGAAGGATTCGGCGGAAAGTAATATTTAATGATGAAGCAGGTGCGGGATCTGAGAATGTCCAAGACGAAGATGACGATAATGATCAGGCGAAACATGAAAATGAAGACGATGACAACGATGATGTCGATGATGACGATGAAATAAGCGAAAATGATGAAGATGACGATGAAGATGAATCCAGTGACGAGGAAATTTCGGGAAAACCAAATGGAAAAGCCGTTAAGAGAAAAAGTAATGAGGAAGGCAATGTGAGACAGAAGAAAAAGAAGAAAACTTCGATTAATGCAACTATTGAAAATGACAATCTCGATGAATCTGAATTAACGGGCGATCAGAAAAATGATTTTAAAAAAAGTACAGATGTATATCATTCCCTGAGTAAGGAATCAGACAAACTGATAAAGAATAAGATTTCAGAAGCATTGAATTTTCTAGAATCAACTAAGGAAAATTCGAAACAGAACAATGAGGACGAAAGTTTTGATGAGCTCAGTGATGAAGACTCGCGCGCGGGATTAGAGATGAACGATCAGGCTAGTGATTTCGAGGAAAATGCATCCGAAGAAAACGGAAAAGACGATGAAGAAGGAGGAGAAAAAGATGACATTGAGATGGACGAAAGCGAAGAGGAAGTCACGGACGAGTTAAAGTGGAAGAGAAATTTAGCTAAGAAAGCGAAAGAAGCGTTCGTCAATCGTCAACAGAATAATGTGAATTTGATGAAGATGGTTTACGGCGTATTTGACAAGAGCGCAAATGTGACGGAAAAGAAGAAAGAGGAGAAAGATAATGAGAAGCCTGACGATATAGGCGAGATATTCCGAGTGGTTCAAGAACAACAAAATCAGAAGATACACGAGCGAGAATTGCAAAATCAAGAAGAGTCTGTTTTCTTTTCTACAGAGAGCTCACGCGATTGGCTGGAAGAGGAGAACAAAGCGCTAATAATTAACCATTTCGTGACGGGTAAATGGAAGGAATCGGAGGATGCCGAGGAGCTTTTGAAGTTGGACGACGAGGATCTATACGGTGACTTTGAGGATCTGGAGACCGGAGAGACGCACAAAGCGGAAGACTCAACTCCTAAGGAGCTATCGGCGGAAGAGGCGGAAGAAAAGAAAAAGCTTCTGGAGAAGAAGAGAAAACTGAAGGAGCAGTTTAACGCGGAGTACGATAATACGGAAAAGAAAACATACTACGACGAGTTAAAAGCCGAAGTGGAAAGACAAGCAGGTATCAACAAGTCCGAGTTCGAAGGACTGGATGACGATGTCAGAGTCCAGCTGGAAGGTTATCGTCCCGGCATGTATGTACGTTTGGAGCTCGAAGCGGTGCCGTGCGAGTTAATCACGAATTTGGATCCAACGTATCCAATAATCATCGGCGGCCTGTTGCACGGCGAAGAGAACATCGGCTACGTGCAGGCGCGAATCAAGAAGCACCGATGGTACTCGAAGATCCTGAAGAGTCGCGATCCGCTCATATTCTCTGTGGGTTGGCGTAGATTCCAATCATTGCCAATCTACTCGAAACTGGAGGACAATCTGCGCCATCGAATGTTAAAGTACACACCGGAGCATGTGGCGTGCATTAGCCATTTTTGGGGCCCGATCACTCCGCAAAGTACTGGAATTTTAGCGATACAGGACGTCGCGAGTAAGGAACCGGGTTTCCGTATCGCGGCGACCGGTTCGATCGTGGAGTTGGACAAGAGCACGCAGGTGGTGAAGAAACTCAAGCTTACCGGCGTACCCATGAAGATCTATCGCAAGACCGCGTTTATCAAAGATATGTTCAATAGCGCGCTCGAGGTGGCCAAGTTCGAGGGCGCTCGGATCAAGACAGTCTCGGGTATTCGCGGTCAGATCAAGAAGGCGGTTGCTAAACCGGAGGGCTGCTTCCGCGCTACGTTCGAAGACAAAATCATGCTAAGCGACATAGTATTTTGCAGGACATGGTATAAGGTCGACGTGCCGCGTTTCTACAATTCGGTGACGTCGCTGTTACTCCCGCCTGCGGAGAAGAATCAGTGGCGAGGAATGAAGACTACGGGTCAGTTGAAGCGAGAGAGAAACATTCACGCCGTGGCCAACACGGACTCCATGTATACGCCGATTACACGGGACGTCAAAGTGTTTAAACCGCTGTCCATTCCGCGCAAGTTGCAAAAGGAACTTCCGTACAGGGATAAACCTAAGCTCCAATCCGTACCGCACTTGCGCAAGTCCAAGTTTAAACAAGGCCGAGTTGCCGTAGTACGCGAGCCCAACGAAGAGAACGTCGCGCGTTTAATGAGGATGATCAGGACGAATTACGCGAAGAAGCAGAAGCAGACAAAGGAGGTCATGACGAAGAGGATAACGGCGTACCAGGCGCGAGTAGCGGAGGAAGAAGCCAAAAAGATGAAGAAGCAAAAGCAGATGAAGAAGGAGATATTTAGGGATCTCAGTAAACTAGAAAAAAAGAAGAAACGGTGAGATTCCTAAGGAAGGATATGAATGTATATAATAACGTGTTAATAAAAAAAAAATGTATTTAATAATTCTAATAAAACTTCGATTAATGCAACTATTGAAAATGACAATCTCGATGAATCTGAATTAACGGGCGATCAGAAAAATGATTTTAAAAAAAGTACAGATGTATATCATTCCCTGAGTAAGGAATCAGACAAACTGATAAAGAATAAGATTTCAGAAGCATTGAATTTTCTAGAATCAACTAAGGAAAATTCGAAACAGAACAATGAGGACGAAAGTTTTGATGAGCTCAGTGATGAAGACTCGCGCGCGGGATTAGAGATGAACGATCAGGCTAGTGATTTCGAGGAAAATGCATCCGAAGAAAACGGAAAAGACGATGAAGAAGGAGGAGAAAAAGATGACATTGAGATGGACGAAAGCGAAGAGGAAGTCACGGACGAGTTAAAGTGGAAGAGAAATTTAGCTAAGAAAGCGAAAGAAGCGTTCGTCAATCGTCAACAGAATAATGTGAATTTGATGAAGATGGTTTACGGCGTATTTGACAAGAGCGCAAATGTGACGGAAAAGAAGAAAGAGGAGAAAGATAATGAGAAGCCTGACGATATAGGCGAGATATTCCGAGTGGTTCAAGAACAACAAAATCAGAAGATACACGAGCGAGAATTGCAAAATCAAGAAGAGTCTGTTTTCTTTTCTACAGAGAGCTCACGCGATTGGCTGGAAGAGGAGAACAAAGCGCTAATAATTAACCATTTCGTGACGGGTAAATGGAAGGAATCGGAGGATGCCGAGGAGCTTTTGAAGTTGGACGACGAGGATCTATACGGTGACTTTGAGGATCTGGAGACCGGAGAGACGCACAAAGCGGAAGACTCAACTCCTAAGGAGCTATCGGCGGAAGAGGCGGAAGAAAAGAAAAAGCTTCTGGAGAAGAAGAGAAAACTGAAGGAGCAGTTTAACGCGGAGTACGATAATACGGAAAAGAAAACATACTACGACGAGTTAAAAGCCGAAGTGGAAAGACAAGCAGGTATCAACAAGTCCGAGTTCGAAGGACTGGATGACGATGTCAGAGTCCAGCTGGAAGGTTATCGTCCCGGCATGTATGTACGTTTGGAGCTCGAAGCGGTGCCGTGCGAGTTAATCACGAATTTGGATCCAACGTATCCAATAATCATCGGCGGTCTGTTGCACGGCGAAGAGAACATCGGCTACGTGCAGGCGCGAATCAAGAAGCACCGATGGTACTCGAAGATCCTGAAGAGTCGCGATCCGCTCATATTCTCTGTGGGTTGGCGTAGATTCCAATCATTGCCAATCTACTCGAAACTGGAGGACAATCTGCGCCATCGAATGTTAAAGTACACACCGGAGCATGTGGCGTGCATTAGCCATTTTTGGGGCCCGATCACTCCGCAAAGTACTGGAATTTTAGCGATACAGGACGTCGCGAGTAAGGAACCGGGTTTCCGTATCGCGGCGACCGGTTCGATCGTGGAGTTGGACAAGAGCACGCAGGTGGTGAAGAAACTCAAGCTTACCGGCGTACCCATGAAGATCTATCGCAAGACCGCGTTTATCAAAGATATGTTCAATAGCGCGCTCGAGGTGGCCAAGTTCGAGGGCGCTCGGATCAAGACAGTCTCGGGTATTCGCGGTCAGATCAAGAAGGCGGTTGCTAAACCGGAGGGCTGCTTCCGCGCTACGTTCGAAGACAAAATCATGCTAAGCGACATAGTATTTTGCAGGACATGGTATAAGGTCGACGTGCCGCGTTTCTACAATTCGGTGACGTCGCTGTTACTCCCGCCTGCGGAGAAGAATCAGTGGCGAGGAATGAAGACTACGGGTCAGTTGAAGCGAGAGAGAAACATTCACGCCGTGGCCAACACGGACTCCATGTATACGCCGATTACACGGGACGTCAAAGTGTTTAAACCGCTGTCCATTCCGCGCAAGTTGCAAAAGGAACTTCCGTACAGGGATAAACCTAAGCTCCAATCCGTACCGCACTTGCGCAAGTCCAAGTTTAAACAAGGCCGAGTTGCCGTAGTACGCGAGCCCAACGAAGAGAACGTCGCGCGTTTAATGAGGATGATCAGGACGAATTACGCGAAGAAGCAGAAGCAGACAAAGGAGGTCATGACGAAGAGGATAACGGCGTACCAGGCGCGAGTAGCGGAGGAAGAAGCCAAAAAGATGAAGAAGCAAAAGCAGATGAAGAAGGAGATATTTAGGGATCTCAGTAAACTAGAAAAAAAGAAGAAACGGTGAGATTCCTAAGGAAGGATATGAATGTATATAATAACGTGTTAATAAAAAAAAAATGTATTTAATAATTCTAATAAGACCTCCAAAAATTCTTATTCTGCGCAATATATATAGTCTCATTTCAACCAAAAGATAGAAAATATTAATTTTAGAATAATATACATTCATTGGACGATGAGTTTTTCGAACATACCGATTAGTGATCGAATAGAGAATTTCTAGAGTTCCTAGGAAGTTTTTTGCGTGAACTTTTGGCAGTTGGCAGTTTGTTTTCATATCGTCTTGCGTTGTGCGTTGTGCGTTCATCAGCATTCATCGAGCGGCGTTGAAATTAATCCCCACGTGCTCCCACGTTTCCAAAATAGAGTTTGTGCATCCCGGCTAAGATGCAGGTTTCCGCACCAAATAATATAAAAATTTACAATCTTAGCGCTGGGAAATCTCTTCCTGAGGTAAAATTATTATGATGTACATGTTTGCGTCAAATCGTTTTAGGTTAGCATAGAATCTCATTGTGTATTTTAATGTTTTACAGTGGTTGTCTGAGCGAAAGAGAAGAAGTTTATCAAAAAAGAATGTCGGTAAGAGGGAATTATTAATTAATGTACAAAAATTTATCAAGTTATGCATATTTAGAGTATTTTATATAGTATACATATTATATATATATAAGTATATATAATAACTTTAAATATATATTATATATAGAAAGAATATACTATAACAATTCGTAATTTTATACTAAAAAAAATTGCTTTTACTTTTTTTCAAAATATATTTAATATTGTAATTGATTATTAATAGATATACGACGACGTATCGATCTTATCCAAGACTTTGACATGCCTGGTATAAGCACATCTCTTAAGATATCAAAAGATGAGCAGCATATCCTAGTAACAGGCATTTACAAACCACGTGTAAAGTGTTTTGATGTTCATAATCTGGCATTGAAATTCGAGAGGTGTTTTGATTCTGAGGTGGTCGCTTTTGAAATATTATCAGATGATTATAGTAAAGTAAGTACGAATGTTGTGAAGAAAAGTCTTACATAAAACAATTTGTATAAATTAATTTTTTACTTAGTTAATTGTACTTTGATTTTTTAACTCTGTATAAAAATTTGCCAGTTAGAATAATGCTTATAAAATGATTAAATAATTGGAATAGTTTGCTTATTTTTATTATATCTTATTCCAGTTAATATTTCTGCACTGCGATCGCCATGTGGAATTTCATGCTGCACATGGGAAATATTATAGGCTCAGGGTACCAAATTTTGGAAGAGATTTGAAATATCATTATCCATCATGTGATACTTTTATTGTAGGCGATAGGTCAGTCCCCCAAAAGCTTTGTATGATTGCATATATCTATACTATAACTGTCATTTAAGTAAATTTATATATGTATACATATATTATTAATATAAATACATACATTTATATATATATATATATATTTAAAAATGCATATATCTTTGTGAAATACAATAGAAAATGATTATATCTTTTTGCAGTAATAAGATATATAGAATAAACCTTGAACGTGGTCAATTTCTGCAACCGTTTGAAACGGAAGCGACATCGATAAATAAATGTGAAATAAACCCGTTGCATCACTTACTCATAGTTGGCACTCAGGAAGGAAAAGTTGAAGCTTGGGATCCAAGAGCCAGGAATAGAGTGGGTGTACTTGACTGTGCCTTACACTGTATTACTCAAAACAAGTAAGACATAAGAATAGAAAATTTTACTTTTTTTCAAATGCAACTCCCAAATTAATACAAATTAATACAATTTATTAGATTAGAAACAGTTCCTGCTATTACAGCATTGAAATTTCAAGGAGGTTTGAATTTAGGGGTTGGCACATCAACAGGACAAGTACTATTATTTGACATAAGGTCTAGTAAACCATTTTTGGTTAAAGATCATATGTATGAATTGCCAATTAAATGCATAGAGTTCCACCAAAAGATGGATCTTGTTTACTCTATGGACAGTTCTATAGTGAAAATATGGGAGAAGGATACTGTAAGTGAAGTTTCTTCGAGTTTTCATGTTTTTGTTGAAATCTCAAATTATTCCATAAAATCATGATTTATTATAATTATATAATTTCATTATAAAATTATTATGTGCTTTATTTTTTTTCAGGGAAAAAATTATACTTCCATAGAAGCTCAATATAACTTTAATGATTTATGTGTTATACCAAATACCGGAATGCTTCTGATGTCTAATGAAACTACAAAGATGCAAATATATTACATTCCTAGTCTTGGCCCTGCTCCTTATTGGTGCAGTTTCCTCGACAATCTCACAGAAGAATTGGAAGAATTGAATTATGACATTATTTATGATGATTATAAATTTATAACCGAGAAGGAATTGGATGAATTAGGTCTCTCACATCTGAAAGGCACTAATTTACTCAGGGCTTATATGCATGGTTACTTTGTAGATATACGATTGTATAGAAAAGCAAGAGATGTAATGAAACCATTTGAATTTGAAGAATATAAGAAAAAGAGAATCCGCGAGAAGATTAAAGAGGAAGCTGTCAGCAGAGTACAGGTATCATTTAATTTAATCTTAGTTTATATATTTAGTATATAATATATTAAGATTTGCATTTTTTTATAACATGTTTTGGAATGTACAGGTACAAAAGTTACCAAGTGTAAATCAAGAATTGGCATTGAAGCTGATGGATAACACAAGCATTAAAAACAAGAAGAAACAAGCGTCTTCTAATCTACTGAAAGACGAGCGATTTAAAGCTCTCTTTAGTAATCCTGAATTCCAAATTGATAAAACTTCTGAGGAGTTTGCTTTATTAAATCCTGTCATTTCTCAACTTGATAAAAGTAAAGCTAAAAAATTAAGGCAGCAATTGGTACAAGAGGAAGAGGTACAAGATAAGCCTGACGAGGATGAACCACAAGGTAAAAAAAATTCAAAATTATATTTTTTGTGAGAGGAAATTCTTTTTCATATATAAAAAACTTTCTATACTGAACCATTTTCCTTTTTAATAAAGGCAATAGCTCGGATGAAAGCTTTATACATGATAGTCCTGACGATGATAGTTCAGATGATGATAAAGGATGGGTTAAAGAAGTGCGAAAGAATTATCGATTAATGAGAAAAAATGAAAGAGAGAAGGAGCAAGAGAGTGACGACGAGGATAATAATGCGACTACAAAGAATGAAACAGAATTAGACGAAATTAAGCATGACGTAAAGTTCCAAGAGGGTGGACTGGAGAAAAAGAAACAGAACAAGTAAATATGCTATCTTATTTTGTTTTATATATTATAAGCGTTTGCATTATTTTAACTCTTATATAAAATTGTAATGTTCCATAGAGCGACATTTGGTGAGAGATTGGAAAGTGAAGAGACACATAACGTTAAAGTGTCCGGTTCGCGTGGTAGCAGAGAGATGACCTTTGTTGTTGGAAAGGTGCGTCTATTAATATTTAATTTAATCAGAATATATAAAACAATATCGATGTATTCTTTATTTTATAATTTTTTTTTTTTTTTTACTTATATAGAGAAAACGATCCGCGGAAACGAGACATCACCGGAAAGAATACAACGTATTACGACCTGCAAGAAGTATTTTCAAGAAAAAATATTAGTTTACAAATTAATCCTAATGTTAAATGCCCTTTTCTATTAAATTTGTTTGTAAATGTTGTAAATAATTTTTCTAAATGTAAATATATATATATAAAAATTTTTATCTATTCATTATTTGTTTCAATGCACCATATTACTGCAATAATTTTTGTTTATCGTTAGCTGTGATACGCATAGATATCCAAGGTGAAATGTCATCAGAAAACTGATATCATTTATATCCATGTACTAGAGTGAGCCACATGTCAAACACTCTAATTTCGATTTTTTTTTTATTTTATAATTTTTTTTTTTTTTTTACTTATATAGAGAAAACGATCCGCGGAAACGAGACATCACCGGAAAGAATACAACGTATTACGACCTGCAAGAAGTATTTTCAAGAAAAAATATTAGTTTACAAATTAATCCTAATGTTAAATGCCCTTTTCTATTAAATTTGTTTGTAAATGTTGTAAATAATTTTTCTAAATGTAAATATATATATATAAAAATTTTTATCTATTCATTATTTGTTTCAATGCACCATATTACTGCAATAATTTTTGTTTATCGTTAGCTGTGATACGCATAGATATCCAAGGTGAAATGTCATCAGAAAACTGATATCATTTATATCCATGTACTAGAGTGAGCCACATGTCAAACACTCTATTGATACAAATATTTTCTTTCCAAGTTTTCAAGAGCAATGTGTGCTCCTTGATCAAGGAGTTTTAAATGGCGTTGGTAAGTTGTCAACTATATTATTTTGATTGGCGAGTAAGAATTTTTCAATAAATAATATTACAATAGATTGCTGATAGTCTTGTAGTTACAATCGAGCCTCTCAAAACTCAAATTAATCAATTTTATCTTTTTTTAATTTCTTTATTTTATTATTAGAACGTATGATTAAAACTCTGATATTCAAATCAAGAAACTTATAAAAAATAAAGTTGATTATTTTGAAAGATTCTATTACCACTTTACAAAATAACTGAAGATACAATTTTTCATTTCTCAATATATCGATTTAATAGTCTTTCAACTGAATTTATAACGGGGATTAAGTTATAACGGGGATTTATTTTTATTTTAATGTGAAGATAAATGAATTTATTTTGTATGTATTTATAAACTGTGGTTAAAATATAATTTCAAAATATCCTGTGAAACTATAAACATTCATAGAGCTTATTCAACTTCTTCTTTTACGATATATTTGAAATTGAACTCTTTTAATATATAGTTATTTTTAAGATATTAAAATTAATGAAATAAAGTGTGTAGGTAAATTTCTCTTTTTATATTTTATATATAATTTATAACAAAAACATTTTAATAATAATGAAATTATTCATAGGTAAAATCTAATAGTAAGCCCAAAAATGGTAAAGATCCACCTCAGCAGAATCATGAGGAAGGTACGGAGATCTCCGCCCCTTCGATATTAACAAGTATAACAACAACTTTTCAAAGCACTGTAAGTTACTATTTTCGTTAAATTCAATACCATAATTTTCGATAAATTCTATATCTTGGTCTCATTATCTGATTTAGATTCTATGATATGCAGCATAGAGACTTTTAATAAATGCTCTGTCCATTGCACGCAGCAGGTGGATGAGATCACTGAGGATTATGAAAATTTTATCAGTACATCTGCAATACTTCATTATTGTAAACACAAAATACTCAAACCATACCTGAGATTGTTGAGTGTAATGGGATTAAGACCAACCAGCAGTGATGACTCTGACCATTCCTTACAATGTTCTATTCTGGCGAACCTGCATACTCTTCAAGTCACTGTATTTATATGTATTGGATACGTTTTACAATATATGGCCTGTTTTAGGTAATATCATTTATTATCCTATTTTTTTACGCATGCTTCTCTCTCTTTACACATAAGAATAATATATACAAAAAAATAAAAAATTTATATATATAATATAAATATTAAAGAAATTTTTATATATATACCAATAAAAAAAAATTATATATATATATATATGTAATTATATCTCAGTATATTATTATCTTGTTTTAATAAATAATTTGTTTATGCTAAAATAAAAGAAATGTTTGCCGTTTTGCAGGAGAGATCGTGGATTCTGTTACAAAATATTACTGCAAGAGCAAAATATTGATGAAAAAGAGCCATCCTGCTATGGAAATGTGATATTCAGCTACTTGATTCCAAGTATATTACATCTAGTCGCATATCTGTACACGATATACTTGTTTCGCATTAAAGAAAACGAACAGCTGCAAAGTCTCATGGAGAGAGCGTTCCTGCTCTCCTCGAATCCAATAAATCGGGGCAATCAGAAGCGTCTTGTACATATATTATGGTTGTTCATAGCTTTGAGCATAGTGTGGATGATCACAGCATTGATTACTGTGAATATTCAGATGGCAAAGGAAAATATAACGTTTCAGTGGGTGGAGAATAGGTAGCTATATTGCTAATACACATCAATATCTGCTTATAGAATGAAAAATGTTCGAAAAGATTGAGTTATTTTTATGTTTCATCTTTTGTACCAAGTCCATATCAAGTGAAGATAACGCTGAAAGTATTGTTGGTCGTTTGTACCTTATGGCACGACATGATTCAGGGAACTATTATAACAAGTTATTGCTTGCAAGGACAGCTGTTGATGTCGCACCTTTACTTTCTACGTGGAAAGTTGCTTCAGCATATCTTACTACCCATCGATTGGATGAGGGTTTGTGATTCATATGTACCAATAATATTTTTTGTATCTCGAAAAAAAGTCTTTCCTCTTCCGTTCGCGTGACTTACAGGACATCGACGAATTCAAGAAACTGTTGAAATACTTCAATGACGGATTAGGCCCAGCTGTATGCATCTATACTATAGTGAATCTATCATGGGCTACTGCGGGTATTGTATGGCTATTTCAATACTATATCAATGATGCGAATGATATGTATCCAATCACGTATGTTAATGTGATGAATATCGTATTATGGATTTTGATATCGATTGCTCCATTTATACAGGTGGGATATACTGCATCCACTATACATACTATCACATTATCATTTTTCTTGACTATGTTATTTTCTTTCAGGCTGCGCGCTTAACGAATGCTTGCTCCATGATCCGAGCCGTAGGACACGAGATACGTATCCGACCGTTCGTGTATCAAACCACTCCTGGAGAAGATCTCGATAGTATACTTTTATATACATCTTCTCTGAAGATGTGCGCCAAATTATTCAGAATACCTATCAAAGGTAGATATTTATGTCTTTTACTAACTATCGGCAGTATTTCTATCCTTACTTTAGGACAGTGCCAATTTTTCTTATAATTATATATATAGCATTTTAATCGAAATTGTGTTATAAAATGCATCGAGTATTTTCGAAATATATTCTCTCTATATTTTTTAAAAAAATTATTTGTGCATAGAACATATATTATTAATATCCATTTTATTTAGATAAATTATTTAGACCTAACAATTTTCTTAGAGAGAACATTTATATATATATATATATGTAATATGTAAATAATTGTAAATTGTACATTATATATAAAAAAAAACGTTTTATGTTAAATTTAGATTGAGAATTTTAATAATAAGGTTCCCTGTGTTTTTTATATACTTTTGATATACATCTCTATGACATTGCAACATAATTTAAACAAGAATAGAAATCAAGAAAGATAAATGAAATATTGGAAAAGGTATTTTATTCACTCCTCATTATATCGTCCAATACATTACATTCTCCAGTGATGGCAGTAATATTGCAACAGACTGGAACGAATTATAATTTACATTTTTAACTTACTTGCAACATGTAAATCTACAAATATTTAATGAATATTTTCTTTCCAAAAATTTTGTATTTATTGTATTTATAAGCTATGAGAAAAATGCAAAAGTTATATGCATTGTTAATATGATACTAATTGCAATTATTTATAATAGAGGTACATGTACAAGAAAAATATTCAAGTATTCAGAAATATATAAATATTCCCAACATGGCATTAAAAATTGAACGAAAATCCATGATCGATATTGTCGATTGCTATGTGTCTTCTTGCATTTCATTAAATTGATTTACAGGTGACTTTATTGACATATATAAATTCAATAGTCAATTTCATAAATTCATGAAATGTGAGTTGCGCGTTAGCGCCATTTTAAAAAAAACTTATGGCAAGACATGATACAGGGAACAATTATAACAAGTTATTGCTTGCAAGGACAGCTGTTGATGTCGCACCTTTACTTTCTACGTGGAAAGTTGCTTCAGCATATCTTACTACCCATCGATTGGATGAGGGTTTGTGATTCATATGTACCAATAATATTTTTTGTATCTCGAAAAAAAGTCTTTCCTCTTCCGTTCGCGTGACTTACAGGACATCGACGAATTCAAGAAACTGTTGAAATACTTCAATGACGGATTAGGCCCAGCTGTATGCATCTATACTATAGTGAATCTATCATGGGCTACTGCGGGTATTGTATGGCTATTTCAATACTATATCAATGATGCGAATGATATGTATCCAATCACGTATGTTAATGTGATGAATATCGTATTATGGATTTTGATATCGATTGCTCCATTTATACAGGTGGGATATACTGCATCCACTATACATACTATCACATTATCATTTTTCTTGACTATGTTATTTTCTTTCAGGCTGCGCGCTTAACGAATGCTTGCTCCATGATCCGAGCCGTAGGACACGAGATACGTATCCGACCGTTCGTGTATCAAACCACTCCTGGAGAAGATCTCGATAGTATACTTTTATATACATCTTCTCTGAAGATGTGCGCCAAATTATTCAGAATACCTATCAAAGGTAGATATTTATGTCTTTTACTAACTATCGGCAGTATTTCTATCCTTACTTTAGGACAGTGCCAATTTTTCTTATAATTATATATATAGCATTTTAATCGAAATTGTGTTATAAAATGCATCGAGTATTTTCGAAATATATTCTCTCTATATTTTTTAAAAAAATTATTTGTGCATAGAACATATATTATTAATATCCATTTTATTTAGATAAATTATTTAGACCTAACAATTTTCTTAGAGAGAACATTTATATATATATATATATGTAATATGTAAATAATTGTAAATTGTACATTATATATAAAAAAAAACGTTTTATGTTAAATTTAGATTGAGAATTTTAATAATAAGGTTCCCTGTGTTTTTTATATACTTTTGATATACATCTCTATGACATTGCAACATAATTTAAACAAGAATAGAAATCAAGAAAGATAAATGAAATATTGGAAAAGGTATTTTATTCACTCCTCATTATATCGTCCAATACATTACATTCTCCAGTGATGGCAGTAATATTGCAACAGACTGGAACGAATTATAATTTACATTTTTAACTTACTTGCAACATGTAAATCTACAAATATTTAATGAATATTTTCTTTCCAAAAATTTTGTATTTATTGTATTTATAAGCTATGAGAAAAATGCAAAAGTTATATGCATTGTTAATATGATACTAATTGCAATTATTTATAATAGAGGTACATGTACAAGAAAAATATTCAAGTATTCAGAAATATATAAATATTCCCAACATGGCATTAAAAATTGAACGAAAATCCATGATCGATATTGTCGATTGCTATGTGTCTTCTTGCATTTCATTAAATTGATTTACAGGTGACTTTATTGACATATATAAATTCAATAGTCAATTTCATAAATTCATGAAATGTGAGTTGCGCGTTAGCGCCATTTTATCAAACACAAATATATATTTTGTATAGTTATTTTATACAACCACCACACACATACTCAGTTTCGAAATATTCGCAAAAATTCTTGGCGATGTGTGTGATTCGAAATATTAAGTCTTGAAGATTCGAGATACGAGATGGTCACAGAAATTGAACGAGATAATAGTCGATTTAGATACATACATTGTTATTACTACTGGATAAAACAATGTTATTTTTATATCTAGACGCGTATTAACAGGGAAACTTTTGTACGTGAATAATTATGAAATAAATCTATTTTTTGTTAATAAATTTTGTCCCTTCCTCCCCCCATTAATAAAGCATAAACTGTGATATCGGTAGAGATCGAGAAATAGTTGCATTGAATAAATATTATTGTGTTTTAATAAGAATTCGTTATTCTAATGTACATCCATAATTTTAGCATTTACAGGAATTATACTTAATTTTGACTAAATAGCACATGATATTGACATTTTGTGGTACCATTTTTAGGAATACTAAACGTTGTAGTAGCACCTGTGCCATAATGTATGTCTTATTTCTTTCACCAATGATTTCTACTTAGTGATATTCGCGTATTTCTTAAATGTTTCCGATTGACAATATTATATATACCTAAATTTTGTAAAAAATGTCAGTATTACATAAGATTTGCAACACAGGTACACAGAAAGTTAACAACAGAATTTGTTCAAAAATTGTGAATATTTATAAATATACAGATATTAATTTAATGATACGGAATGTGAAAGTCATGTAATATGAAAGCCATGTAAAAGCATGGCGATTATCGATTTATTTAAATGATATATATAATTTTATTGAAAAAATAACGTGAAAAGAATCTTTATAATCTGCATTGATATAAAATGTGCAGTCTACAATCACTGGAAGTCAAATGGCAATCATCGTCTTAAATATTACACAATTTCAAAAAGTTGTATTATCTCAACTTACTTATCCTTGAAAATTTATGATATCTCAAATTATTTTTACAAATTGCACAAGTAAATCTCTCTCTCTTATCAAAATAGTTTTATTTTTAATCACAAGAGTTTTTCTGCGACAAATCCTAGAGGATTAATTTGTAAATGGTGATAAATAATTGAGAGCGATATTAAACGAGGATTTTCAGCCGAGTCCGTATAGGAGATACTGAAAATCATATTAAGCTACTTACAATACGTTATTATCTCTTAAAAAAAGAAAAGAAAAGAAAATTAGTACAAATGACGATAATTTAAGTGTTGCGAGATTATGATTTATGAACGGAAATTTTGTTATTAACAGAATATCATGATAAAGAAACGAATTGTTCTTATTTCAATGGACTATTCTTACAAGATCTTTCAGCTGCCTCTTGCTTCTATCGATGACGATGCCTCGCCTCGTTGAATTTTTAACCACTCAACAAACTCGTCGAGCATTACTGGCCCTAAAAGAATCATACATTATACAACAGAAGATGCAAGATAATTTCTTACGCCTTTCGTAACATTAGCATAAGCATTTTCCTTGTATACACTTACACGCTCCGTCTAAATCATAATTAGATAAATCGTGATTGATTGTACGTGAAAATTCTAATATGTTGCACCATTGATCCTTATTGATCACTTTGTACTTGGATTGATCTAGGAACTGAGCAAACTGTGTGAACAGTGGCCAATGTTTTCCCAAAAGCAGCTGTAGCATTACTTTTGCGGTATCCATGTCCATACTTCGTTGATCTTTGTCCTGCAAAATTAAAGTGAAACAAATCAGAAACACTGTACAATGATATTCAAATGTATCTACATTACATTTGTACACATCTATAATGCGTATCTGCGTGCGTTCTAATAACATCGCACATACTCGGGCAAAGTCGTAAGCATATCTATAAATCCCTTTAAACGTGTGTGGATCGTTTAATTGATTCCTTAGGTACTCGAGCTTTTGTTGTACTTTACTAATAGAATCGCACTGAAGTTCCGAGAAACCCTTCAGCCATTCGCTCAGAGTGAAAAAGCCCATTTGACGAGCGTTCATTCTGTATGCAAGAACGAGCATTACTACGTTTTCGGGTTCTACACCGATATCCTCGCAAAATTTCTCCATTCCTTCCGGTCCAAGAGTATCCGGATCGTCTGGCGAGGTATACTCTCTAAACCAAGTGATGCAACGCTTCTGAGAAAACGCCGACGCGTTGGATATATCGTCAGTTTTTGTATATCTTCTGGCACTATGCGTGTACAAAAATATTGTACATATATTATAAAAAACATCTTACAAGCCTCTTACATATAATTTACATATATAAGAATGATAAGACAATATTACAATAAGTAAAATATTGTAAATATAGTTGAAATGTTTTAATATTATCCTTAATTAATAATTTCTCTCGATATCTTTATAATGTGACTATGTAAAATGTCATCAATACGTGCAATTATATTGTATACAAGTAACTCTATATATTCAATGAATAATAATAAGTATTAATACTTTCATATAAGAGGTACACAGTCTCAAACCTACCTAGAGGTATGTCTTAATCGTTTCGAAGGATGCCTAGGTAAACTGTCTTCGTGTGCGCCAGCTACTGACATATCAATAGGAGTATGATTTGTGCTAGAAGGTCCTCTACGCTTGCTACGTGGCATCCCTCTGTCTGCTGAAATACAAAAGTTAACAATTTTTTATTTAAATATGCAATATTCTTCATTTATGAATATTTATTTCTTCATTTATATTTTAATAATTTTTATATTTTATATATGTATTTATATTATAAAGAGTTGATTTGTTTATACATAAAATCTTACAAGCGCATAAAAAAGTGTAAAATATATTGTGTTTGAATAATTGATCTAAAAAATTCATATGAGTCATTTACGAGTTTTATATTAACATGCTAATATCATCGATTTAAATTCCATTAAATCTGTCAATAGTTGCCACAGAAATTACAGTTGGAATCGGAAATTAACAAAAACAATATCTCGTTATACAAGATCGCAATAAAATAAGAAGTCAAATTGTGAGACGAGTGTACAATCAATACGTGCAATTATATTGTATACAAGTAACTCTATATATTCAATGAATAATAATAAGTATTAATACTTTCATATAAGAGGTACACAGTCTCAAACCTACCTAGAGGTATGTCTTAATCGTTTCGAAGGATGCCTAGGTAAACTGTCTTCGTGTGCGCCAGCTACTGACATATCAATAGGAGTATGATTTGTGCTAGAAGGTCCTCTACGCTTGCTACGTGGCATCCCTCTGTCTGCTGAAATACAAAAGTTAACAATTTTTTATTTAAATATGCAATATTCTTCATTTATGAATATTTATTTCTTCATTTATATTTTAATAATTTTTATATTTTATATATGTATTTATATTATAAAGAGTTGATTTGTTTATACATAAAATCTTACAAGCGCATAAAAAAGTGTAAAATATATTGTGTTTGAATAATTGATCTAAAAAATTCATATGAGTCATTTACGAGTTTTATATTAACATGCTAATATCATCGATTTAAATTCCATTAAATCTGTCAATAGTTGCCACAGAAATTACAGTTGGAATCGGAAATTAACAAAAACAATATCTCGTTATACAAGATCGCAATAAAATAAGAAGTCAAATTGTGAGACGAGTGTACATATTGTAGAAAAATAAATAGACCTGCAGAAGGCGGAAAAAAAAAAACGACAAAACAGACATTTTAAGAGAGAAAAACAAAGCGATATTTGTAATATAATCATTATGTAAACACAGAAACACAATTATATACTAATACGCGCATATAATTAATATAAATATAATACACATTAGCCTTTTACAAATCAATGCATCATCACTCGATACGCGTGATAAAAAAAAAAAAAAAAACTATTGTCGTTTCGAGGAACGATATCGCGGAAGTGCGAGAAGAAGTGTGGAATAATGGAAATGCAAGACGCAAAATTAGTACAGGGATTCGAGTTATTGATACAGGCACGGGACACGGGACCAAGGTAACGAGAGTATCCCGTAGACGAGATGATTAAGCTCTTAACGCTCTTACGTACGTAATTATCAAGCGAATTAATTAAGCACTATATTGAAATAATCGGGTGCAGTCGCGAGAGCAACGTATGTAACTGGACTTTTCTCTCGTCGGCGTTAAACTGACATCTCCCCGTGCCCGAGACAGAGACAGAGAAGAGAGAGAGAACGAGCGAGACGGAGATAGAGAAAGAGAGAGAGAGAGAGAGAGAGATAGCGCGACCGAGCGAGTTATCGCAGTTAAGTGAGGTTAGGGTCGCCAATTAAATTTGTGTATCATACAATTGTTGGATCGCTGAGTCGGCAATCTGCGAGGTTACCTGGGTGACGAGAGTTAATAGCTATCTGACTACGATACCCCGAAGAATGCGTGCGTGTTATTTATCTCGCGATCGCCGAAGGGACGATACTCGTTCGCGTGTGAAGATCGCGGTGATGATTTCGCGACACGCGGAGGATCCTCGCACGTTTCACGAGCGTGACGGCGTGTGCGTGTGAGTCACGTCGTAATATTAGACGCGTTTTTATTAGCGGCGATGATAATAATAATAATCACGAGGGATGCGCGACTCTCTTTACCTTTCTCTCCCTCGGAGATCACAATCACTAGAGAACACTCGGAAATCTTCCGTAGAAGTGTATCGTTGTTTTGTGTCACTCCGTTAACGAGAGATCAACTTCATCGAGATCATAAATTTACGTCCATGGGCCGTTGCGATGCGTGCGAACGGTATCGATCATAGTGCCATCAACAACGGATACGCCCGCGATCGATCGCTTTTAAAGTCGAGTTGAATTTAGTTTCGAATATCGCCTAAAATACCGCACGGTCGGAACAACGACACCTCTCTTTCGACGAGCCCCGGTCGCGGTTTTATTTCATTCTATGTCGTTTTCGTAAACGGCATGCCTTTCCCCCACCTTCCCTCGCACAGCAGGGATGCCAAATGTGCAAATATTCTTCTCGCTATCGGATTCGATTGCTCAAGAAAAGCATATATCGATTCGCGTGATATCGTTCGATTGTATTTATACAGCTATGTTTAATTTTTAATTTCTATTTTTTTTTCACATTATGCCGTTTTAAATTATTTTATCCATTCGTGAAACCAAAAATCCTTGATTCCGCGACTTGATTCTAAAATAATTTAATATATACAAGAATGTATATATATAATGTATCTCTATATTATAAATTCACTCGATGTAAATAAATAAATATAGGTATTTTTTTCACATGGTTTTAATTAAAAAAATATCAACATGAGATTATAACAATGGTAAAATAGAAATTGTAATACATACTGTGTTATTGCTAATATTACATCTAAATGAGACATTTATCTCTCATAATGACTTGCCTTTATCTCATAATGTCGCCAGTGCAATAGGACCATCCTCATCGATCTGATAATCCGTGAAATCCATACAGACCTCATGCTTCTGTTGGTGCATCTTCAACGAACTCATTTGCGTGAATCTCTTTGGACAATATACACAAGCGTATGGTTTAATACCTGTATGTATGCGCTTGTGACGAATAAAATGGCTCTGATGATGAAAGCTCTTGCTGCAGATGTTACATACATACGGACGTTCGTTCGTATGTGTTCTACTGTGAATTTTCAGGTCAAATCTCTTGAAAAAAGTCTTGCCACAGGTCAGGCAAACATGATCGCGTTGCTTTAAATGATCCCTCTTTACATGCTCCTATGTAAAACAAATTGTTAATTACCTTTATGATATAGGATAAAAAGGATGATGAATTATATATATATTGAATGACTTACATTTACTTGTGACAAAGTGCTGTAGACTTTCGGGCAAATCTCGCAAACGAACTTTTGCGGCCCATCCAAGCTATGATTGTTCACAATATGCTTGTTCAGAGTAGATTTCCATGCAAACGACATTCCACAGTCCTTACAATGAAATTTTTGTTGATCTGTAAAGTGTATGCCGATATGCTGCTTGTAATTGTAGGCCGTCGAGAATGTTTTATTGCATACGGAGCAATGAAATCTTTTCAAAGTGATTTTCAGCTTTTTTGGTTCTTCTGATGTTCCACTACAATTCTCATTACTTATACTTTCATTGGTAATTATGTCTCTATACAAATGCTCTATACCACTGTCCACACACCTGTCATTATTCTCCATGGCTTGATTGCTATTAATATTTTCTTCTAATGGCATATTATTTTCGACATATGTGAAAAAGTCTGATTTACTTTTGGAACAATGAATTATTTTATTACTATCTTGCAAAACGTTTGAACAGTCTTTATTGAGATTATTAGCTTGTATGAAATTTTGATTTTCTTGTTCGATAATTTGAGAATCCTGCAATAGTTCCAATAGCTGTTCACCATCATTTTGGATTAAACGTATCATCGAAGGTTCTTTGTATGTTGAAAATTCTACACCGATATCGGCAACTTCCAATTCTAAAAATCTCTCAAATTTTTCGTAATTTAGTCTTTCAAACGTTTCAAAGCCTGTTTCGACATATTTGTCAAAATCCGTATGCGACTCCAATAATTCCAAATTCTCAAAATTGTAGGCCTGTTGTGAATTTTGTTGGAAATGTTCGCCATGACATAGCACAGAGAAATTCTTTTCCCCCCCATGAGATTCAAGCTGCGCGTAATTAAATTCATTATTTATAGTAAGAGCTTCCAAACTTTGTTGATGTTCTATGTGATTATTCTTTTTATTACTTTCTCTCAAATCTGAATTTATTTTTTCACAATCTTCGAAAGCATTTGCAGTTTCCTCTGTTGTATTTTCAAAATTCTTTCCGCATGAAACGTTTTGCATTTTTTCCACTAAATTATTTATTACATATTCATAAAATTGCTCACCAGTCTCTGTCTGTACTAAACGCAACGTTGGTTCTTCATTATTTAACGCTGCATTATTCAAGTTATTGAGAATCTCTTCATTGCGCTGCAATAAATTGTTTCGATCATCGTTAGCAACAGGAGTGTATAATACGTTATTAGCAGCAATACTTTCAGAATTTTGGGATTTCTCTGTATGATTAACATTTACGTTGACAAAATCTGTGTTATGACAATACCGCGATTCATTTAATTTCAATATTCCCGAATCAGAAAATTCCAAGTACAATTGATTATCATCATTTAATAATTTATTGCTTTTTCTATTTTCACTGATAATTTCTTTGCATATATGTTTGGGTAGAAATTTTTTGTTTGTTAAAACTTCACTGAAATTACAGATTTGCAGATTTGTTTCCACATTTGATGAATTCTTTACATCATTTGTGGAATTCTCTTTACAAGTTTCTTGGATTGTATATGTGTCTGAGCCATTTAATCTCAAAATATTTTCATCATTATGAATGGCCAATTCAGCATTTGGTTCTCTATCTTGAGATAGAAAGGTACAATTGTTTTTAGAAAATTGATAAGCTATGTCTTTGGATTGTATTTGTTCATTATATGCTCTATCTCGAGGAGAATTTGAGACAACAATTTTATTCATGGGTAAGTTAATGGATTTAAGTCTTTCTTCAATCTCAGCACAATGGTCCTGCAATAATTATAATTTGTACTCTCATTTTCTGTTAAATTACTTCCTTCAAACTTTTCATACAATTTATATCAGATGTATTTATCCATATTTTACAATAATTAAATCTAAAGTATCAAGTACTTACCTGCTTAGATGCAACATGAACAACAGTCCCCAAGGATAAACATGCTTTATTTCCAATATCAGTGTTGTGTTTCTCGAAAATTATCTCATTTTGTTGTATATCTGAAACTCTAGCAGTATTCTGGTTGAAACATTTTTGTTCTATACAAAATGTCTCATGATTTTTATTTTGTATGTCATCATTTATTGTCTGAAAAATTCAAAATAAGAAAATATATAAATCTCAAACGTATCTAAATGTTATATATTTAATCAGCATTGAAAAGTTATAAATTTAATCATAGTTTTCTTACAGCTATAACATTTTGATAATATAATGTTACTGGAATAACTTTTTATTTTAAGACTTTTTAACAGAAAACACAATCAAAACTTCTTTGGCAAGATTTTGCAACAGCATTGATGTTTAACAATCAATTATTGCTTTATAGCAATACTTAAAACTTTTTACTGTGATAATATAAATAGAAATGAAATCAATAAAAATAATGAATTGTTACCTTGTTCTTATTCAATGCACAATCCTTGGTTTTTGATTTATTGTTAATAAGACTAGGATTACAATACTGCTGTATAAAGTCCTTTGGTATATGTATTTGTTTGTGTTTTGCTAGTGAAGAAATTTGCGTGAAACGCTTATCACAAATTGGACATACATATGGCTTAATTCCTGCATATGACATAAATAAAAATATTACTAAGTTCTTAGAGATATCGTATTTTCATACTTGTATATCTTGAGCAAATTAATTTTATTTTTTACTTTATATATATTCCAATGTAAAAAAAATCTATATTTTTATTATATATTAGACATTCGATACTTTACCTGTATGTATTCTACAGTGCCTTATAAGATTCGATATATGATTGAACTTTCTTCCACAGACCTCGCAAATATAAAAATTCGTACCAAGATGAATGTTCAAGTGCATACGCAAATCTGCCTTACGAAAGAAACCTTTTTCGCATATTTGGCATATGTGAGATCTTTCTCCCAGATGTTTACTCCGATAATGATAATCCAATTGGGAAGGACGATCGAAGCTCGAATCACATTTAAAACACTTGAAAATTTTCAGCATGTTATGACAGATGCTCTTCTGCAGTTTTACCGTCAATTGTGGATAAAATTCCACGTTATTTCCTTGTGACAAATTTTTTAGAGCAATATAAATGTATGTATTGTGATGAGGCGACTGCGTAAAAGTGACAGAGTAGTGGGCTCGATTTCGATCCCGATCCTCGCTTTACGCGCCTCTATATGTGTATACAAAGGTTGGAAATGAAAAATATCTCGACCCTTCAGGAGGGTCAAAGAACGTAAATAGATTAGATTAGAGAAGGAAGAAGGCAGCTCTATCTTCTAAAATCCTTCATTCACAAATGCTTATATTTTTAACCTCCAAAAAATGGGAGATCCGAAATCTAAAATCGCATGTCGGAAATATTCATCATTTATCTCATGGTCCAGAAAACAACGCCTCTCAATGGCGTTGTAAGCAAACTCGAAAATTGTGTTCCGAAATCCTATGTAGCATTGAATTGACCAATCAAATAAAAGGAATCTTTGCTCCTTTTGTCCTGATTGGTCAGTTAGACGCTATTTTACGGGTATTTTGGGTACAATTTCTTACTAGGCGCGTGATTGGTTCATTTTATTATGCTTTACGTTGGCAGCGCTTGATTTTTGCATCTCCATCGCGGTTGGCATCATTCAAACGTTATCATCATTTTAATTTTGAAAGTAAACAGCGATTTAAAATCCGTTGGTTACAAATTTGTAAACGTCCGATTTTGTCTTACTCCCTGTGAGTTGTGCAATTTATATAAGTACGTATCGCTATATGGCTTATTTTAATAGAATAATAAATAACATTAGATGAAAGTAATTATTAAGAACACAAGATTAAAGTTTAAAATAAGTTTAATCATCAAAAACCAAGACATTTGAATTCGTACTCTGTCATTGTACTCACGTGTCTATTACGTCTCTGTATAATTTAGACATAAACATTTATTTGAAACTATATTTTGTTTATAATTTTGCATATTTATAAATTTTTTTGTGAATCAATTTTATTATTGTACACAATTTCTGTTTATTATATCATAAAACGGATCTTTGTTCTTGTTTACTTGATTTTTTTTTTCTTGCAAGAGAGAAGTAGAACTTTCTCATAACGTATTGGTTACCTGTTTAGATATATAATGGGTAATTACATGACCAAGTTGTTTCACACTAATGAAAGCCAAAAAGAAAACAATGAGCTACAAGGTGTTAAGCAACAAGCGGCTACAGATAGCAGTATGTGTACACCAACGTTATCCCAAAAAAAGATGCTGTGTGATCCACGTTCAGTTTCAGCATGAATCTTAAGAACTCCCATTGAGGTAATATTATATATTTAATTTTATGCTCTAAAAACATATATATATAATATATTTATGCAACAGGCAGTTACGCAAGATAGCAATATGTGCACACCAACATTACCTAATAAAAGGGTGCTGTGTGATCCACGTTCAATTTCAGTAGAAATCTCAAGAACTCCAATTGAGGTAAGTTTCTAGCTAATAGAATAAGGGAAAATCTTTTATGTTATATATGTATATACAGCTTTAATGTTAACAAAAAAGTTTAATATATATCATTACTTAAATAGGTGAAATGCACCCCAGTTACAGCAACCAAAAGAGCACTTACTGCAATTCCAGAATATTTACAGAAAAAAAAATATCTTGAAACTGATATGGATGTAGTAATGCCACCTTTAACACCGAAAAAATGTGCTATACCAAAATTAATAGATAGTGATCAAGGATCAGAATCTGTATGTGTTATTTAATATTTACATAATACATTATATTTGTATACCCAATAATACTATTAATTTGCAATTTAATTTTTTAATATGCAAAGCAAATATTTTCATGTCTATTGTGTGTATAAATTGTTAATTTTATAAGCAAATCCGATTACTTTTCAGGGTAAAAAACTTTTTATCCATACTATATATCTGTTACAGGATGGAGCACAAGATTATTTAACGCCAAATATTAATATTGTAGAAGGTCTAAAATCTATTACGCCAATTGATAAGGAACGTTACACAATTTTAGGATTAGATCCTAGATCTCCAGCTGCAGACTTCGATAGAACGCCTATTTTAATGCCGAAGTCTCTTGCGTTAATAAAGGCGCGATCGAAAGAAACTTTGAGTCGCAAAGGCAGTTATGAATCCGATATTTACGATCCGACAAACTCACATCGAGAAACCAGTACATCACTTAATATTCCAAAAATACAATTGTTATCTGATACAGCTTCGGAAACCTCGGAAACGTTAGATATGGAGACACAGGATGAATCACATATACTCTGCACATCCAAAAAATCTGATTCTGATTCAAGTGTTATTGAAAGCGAGGAGGAAGTTACAGTTATTAAGAACCCGAAATGTAAAAATGAGAAGGAAAAATCATTGATATCAAGCGAACAGACAATTGCGACTGACAAGGAAAAAAACAAAGACGATATAGATAAAAAGGATAATTGCAAAGATATTGAACATGATATGAAAACAATGCATATAAAGGATGACAATAAAATTGAAGTATGGCATGATTCAGTATCATCAGAGGAAAATATTACAGGTAAGAAGGAGAAGGAAAACATTGTAGAAAAGTTATTGCAAAAAAAAGCTCCTAGAGAAGATATAATTATAATGTTTGATGAATGTGCCATGATTAGTACTTTACCAAAACCAATAAAGACAGAAGGGGATTGTCAGAAAAAGGGAAATATTGCAGAAAGAAAGAAGAGTACGAAAATAGATGCTATAGTTCCTTTAAATGAAAAAAAGATTTTCAATCCTGAGAACAAAATGCCTGTAACTGAAATGCTTAAGGTAATTTATGATATTATGAAATTATATAGATACATGTGCATAAAGTTATGTTATGTTTATAAATATTAATAAGTAGTTTTCTTTCTTTAGAATCGGACACCTTTTGGCAATCGATCTAATAATGATCAAGTACAAAGAATAAACTCGCCACAATACTTATCAAGAAATAAGACTGTATCTACACAACAAGAGAATACACCACCATATAAGATGTACAATGCAAAGAGTAAAACTGGACATCATTGGGATCCAAATGCTACAGTTCTTATTTAAGTGAGAGAGAGATAAAATGACATTTAAATCAGTTCTAATTTATTTTAGAATAAAAAATAGAATAGGAAGAAAACAGTAAAATTGAACTTATTTTAAATGTTATCACAATTGCAAGTAATGGGTTTATGTCATATATATTCATTTTGAAATAAATAAATAATTATAAAATATAAAAATCTATATTCCAAATTTACATTTATAAATAATTCAGTTTGTAAAAGATGTTTAAGTGTTTATTTAAATGTCGTGTTTCTGCATCGCTGCACGAATTTGAGATTTCGCCGCTTGAATCGAATATTGAAGATCTTTGCTGGATTGTATTAAATGCGTTACACTGAAAATACATTTGAAGACCAGATTAAAATAATATAAGATTTAAGATGATACACAGAACAAAAAACTTATAATGTACAAAATATATAGAATATCTCAAGAGAGTACTGTCATGTTATTTTATAGTATGAAAATGTCAGTTGAAGCCAATTTAAATTTTTATTATATTTTAAAGTTAAAGTTTGAGATATCCTATATGCAAATATATTGGGAATATATACTTTGGATCTTTTATAACAATCTTCTTCTTTGCAGTATCAGACGTTTCCAATAATTTCACAGTAATTCCGCTCTCTACTTTCTTTACGTTACAAAACACATTTGTTTTCTCAACGGAACTTGATTTCGCGATATTTCTGGTATCTATCAATCGCGGACGAAAAATTTTAACTTTTGCATTATCGTCGACATATTGGCCTTTATAATTTTTCCTTTTTTGCACGTTTAATTTTGGATTTCTGTTTGGCCTCTGAATCCCTGTCTGCATCACTGCTTCAGTCGGTTGATATGGTGCTGATAATGATTTTGATCCAGATGCAATGCTGCTATTAAAATTACAGTTTATCGGTAAACGAGGTTCAAGCACAGGTCGTGGATCTATGTTCTGAGGTATTCCATTACAAATAGATGACAATGTTTCTCCAGGATAGCAATATTTGAGTCGTTCTTCAGTGAGGGGCAAAGCAGGATTTTTCTTTTTTCTATGATATTGTTCTCTACAATTACATATTTAATATTAATTTGAGACTATGCATGCTGTAATATATTCATATATATCTAAAATAATGTACTTATTTATCAGATTAAAAAATTTACACAATATTTACTTTGTACATATATTATTACATATTATTTTTACTGTATACACATGTAATATTATTGATAAAACATACTTTGGAATAAATTTTGCTGGGTTTGTTAAGTCTTGCTTAAGATTTCTTTTTATCTGTATCGCTACATCTTTACGGCGTTGTATAAGTTTTGCTTTTGTTTCTGCCAGAGTTTCTAACTCAGGAACGTAAAAAACATGCAGGACCCCTCCAAAAAAATTTTTGTTATCAATCAATCGTTTTGCTACCCTATACAGAGAATAATTCAAAAATATATTAAATGTAATATATAAAAATATATAAAAAATATTAGTGGTTTGCTAAACATTGTTTCCTTGACAGAGAAATATATACCTTGCGCTCTGAATACGTGCATAATGCACATGATATGTTTCTGTAAATTCCTCTGAGGGATATTCAGTCACCAACTGGATTGCTTTCACATTTCCATAAGGATAAACAAGTTTTCCCACTTCTTCACCTAATCGCACTTTTGGTACTCCACATATTAGCAAATGCTGTGATTCATCGTTAATTGTATAAACCTGTTACACAGAGCTACTACGTCAAGGAAATATTGCGGACAACACGTATAATCATTTATTAATGTAATATTCTTGAAATTCTCTTTCACAATTTAAAGCTTAAAGTATTAAAAATTATCATAATATATTCATAAATCAATATTCAATAACATGCTTGAAGTTAATATATAAATTGCTGGAAAAATATAATTATTGTACGTTTCCTACCAGTTGATAATAATAACAATAAAATATGTTGTAAATATATATATATATATGTATATATCTACAACATATATGTATATGTATATATGTTGTATTAATAACAAATCTTAGTGTGTTTCCATAAAAGTAAAGCTGAAAAATTTGTTCTCTTAAAACCAAAGTAATTATTATTGCAATTACACACATATACACATATAATTAATAATAGGTAAATTAAATACTTTCTTAATCTAATATAATACAAGAGATATTAATTCTAATGAGGCAAATAGAATAGAAATTTGATTTTAGAGTAGGATACAAGCCCCCAATGCTACCTTGACTGCAGTCAATCTTTTTCCTTGTCTGTAAGGCGATCGGGTTTGACATAATCTTTGCTGCACATGGTGTGGCATGTGCGTTACCTCAGTTCCTTTTCCTTCCTCTGTCATAATGTGAAGCAATATATATCCTTCCAGCACTTTTTTCTCGGTTAATAATGAAGACGGCAAGCCTAAAAAGAAAAAAAAAAAGATTAAATATTAGGAAGGAACATTAAATATTAAGACATTAAATTAGCGAATATAACAATACAATCGACAAGAATTTTACTTTTGTAAAACTTTATACCTTTGAGGTTAGAAATTTACACTTGTCGACAAAATATATATATTCAAAGTGAGAACTCAAGTCGCGTAAACTTTCGTCACTCGAAGTACGCAAAAATTTTTAAAAGCGCAGTGTTATTTTGTTCTTCAAAGCGAGAATACAATTGTGTGAATTGCAAAAATATAACGTCGCGTTGAATTATAATTGTCACGGATTTGACAAGCCGACCGTGGACACCCCGGCTATGATTGATTCAGGTTAGGTTATAGTTTCATTTCTCCACATCAACGCGACACGCTACTAATTACACGATTTTAATATATAAGTAATCGAAACCGCAGCTGAGCGTCAACGAGAAAGGATCATGGCTGATGTCACGCGCGCTCTAGTGATCATGTAGTACATTAAATTGACAACATCCAAACAAGTGCATCCAACAGAAGAATTTTGTAGGAGTTTTCGGTTCAAACCGAAAGTGAAGATATTCCTGACGTGCGCGATACATGACTCGGAGAGCGAGCGCCATCGAACTTTTTCGCGTGGCAAGTTTCCCACCTTGGTCACGCCGGCGGAAGTGGCGGCCGAAGTGACGGATGTCGTCGCCCAAGAGAGAGAGGAAGAGAGAGAGAGAGAGAGTAATGGCGTTCGCGGCGGGCGCACATTCTCGCAGTTCGTCTGTTACACGCTATTAATTGGAGAAGAACCAGCTTGGTTTCGACTCTTGGCTCCGCTGACTCGTCTCGCCTCACCGTAAGCTCTTCCTCTCTCTCCGGATCGGGATCGAACACGCTGAACGGTTCGCGAGTGACGCCCGAGAAGCCGTCTCGGAAAGTTTCGCGGAAGCGTGGCGGCCGAACTGGTGGTTGTGTACGTTCTCATTTCGCGTCGCGTGAAGAGAAGAAACTTCTGAGATCTACTCGTCTCGGCGATTTTGATTACATTGAGCCCCGATGAGATCGATAAGGAACTGAGAATCTCCGAAATCTCATGCGCACGTCTTCATCGTACGGATTGTGTACTCTTCATCAGTCCAACGTGTTTTGTGGAGCATCGTGACGTGTATGTATATGCTTTCCTCGACTACTGGTTGACTACGATATGTCAATTGATTATACGATTAATAATTTTTTAATTCGGAAAAATATACCGAGTTTAGAGAGATTTTGTTAAAGAAAATATATTTTTCTTTTTATAATCGAGTCATAGTGACTCATTCGCGAAGAATGATACAAAATTGATGTAGGTTTATCTTTTTTCTCTTTATAAATTATATGCTATAAATGATAATTGACGATTAAATTAGATTGGAACAATTTTAATGTAGCAGAAAGACCATATTGAAGCAACTTTAAATAATTGGAAGAGATCATAAATTATCAATAAAATATAGTGTACAATTATATCAATTTTGATTAGTGTTGCTTTATTGATTAATTTGATTGTTATATGCAAATTTTTAAATAGTACAATAATTGAATATATAATTAATAAAAGATGAGCAATTTGTTGTGCTCCTCATGTGGCTATGAAATACATTATTGCTATAGAATCTTTATTACAATAATAATAGAAGACTGATGGTATATTTTATATTTAGAATAATAAAAAAAAAATTTTCTTGTCTTTTACAGGCTTCATTGAAAGAATGGATTTATCACTTTAATGCCGTAATGTCATTACAGGCATAAAACATGCCTGATTCTTATTGTCTGTACAAATTGGACAAAAAGTTTAATTGAAATTATTCTGTACCTGCACGTGCACATCCTCTCATCATGTCTGCAACTACTCAGTTTGCGAATCCGCCACCAGCTGTAAGCTTACCCAATATGTCTGTGCCACCGCCGACAGCTCCAAATTTATCAGCGCCGCCACCAAACTTAACTACGATAAACACATCGGGTAGCTATCAGCACCGTTATCCGAATCACAGAGAGGGCAGTCGCGGTTTCTTCAAGCCATTCAGACCTTATCATGCTCCAAAAGTTGTCGCTGGAGGACAAGATACTCTGCAAGATGAGTTTGATGGAAAAAGGCTTAGGAAATCCGTTATGCGAAAGACTGTCGATTACAACTCGGCCATCATCAAAAGTTTAGAAGTAAATATTCGCATATACTTTGTTGCGTAAATTTGTCAAAATGATTTTCTCAGACTCATAAACTTTTGAATTTCCGCAGAATCGCGTATGGCAGCGGGACTACAGGGATCGTCGCGCACTTCAGCCAGACGTAATATACTATCCTGATTTACTCCCTCCGCCAAGTTATATTGACAATCCAATAAATGCAGTTACCACGAGGTTCGTAAAAACGGCTACCAATAAAATGCGTTGTCCGATTTTTTGTATGGCCTGGACACCAGAGGGTAGACGTCTTGTCACTGGTGCTTCGAGTGGGGAATTCACACTGTGGAATGGCCTTACTTTCAATTTTGAAACTATTCTGCAGGTATATATATATACATATTAGATATAATTAGATTTTAAACTGTTGGAGTTACATGGTAAAAATTAAATATGTTTCAAATGTAAATTATTTATATATATTTTATGTCAAAACATTCCACGAGAGATTAAATACTTTTCAATTTTGGTCCTACACCTCTGAGAATATTTTGCAGGATATAGAAAATCTTAATTTTATTGTAGAGATAAATTGAATATAGTGGTAAAACTATCTTTCTGTATATATGTGAGATAACTTGAATATAATTTTTTATTTAGTGTTGCTAAATAATCATATATTTGAATTTATATTTATATAGACTTTTAGAAAAAAGTTTTTAATGAGATATCGTCATTTGCGCTTTGACAGGAAAAATTAATTTCTCTGTTTAGGCACACGACAGCCCGGTAAGGACAATGGTATGGTCGCACAATGAGAGCTGGATGGTAACAGGGGACCATGCAGGCTACGTAAAATATTGGCAGAGCAACATGAACAACGTCAAGATGTTTCAAGCGCACAAAGAAGCGATTAGAGGTCTCAGGTATACCATCCACCACACTAGTCCTTACGTCTCTCGCGCCACTGTTGCCGATGATCCGTCCATCCTTGCTGTAGTTAAGACATTGGACGTGACTCTTATTCTCTTATTCCTTTTCTGGTTTTGTGCCGTTTCTGGCAGAGTAATAGAGATTCTTGTATGGGTACACAGGTGATTTTTAACAAGTCTTTAGCATTGGATAGATATATGAAATATAACGTTCGCGCGTCATGAACCATGTGGAATGAACCATATTCGTGAAAAATGCTGGTGTTGAACGTTTTGATCAGATTCTACGTAAAAGAAGTTTCGATATCTTTTGCCGAATTAAGAGAAGATTTTCAAATTGGAAAAATAAAAGTCTGAAGAGTCAAACTCCAATCTTCTTTTTTTTTTTAAATTATTTTCAATCATAATAGAAAATATTTCCATTATGCTGTAGCAATCATATCTTTTAAGTGCAACGGTTTAAGAATAAATTTTCAATAGATTTTGCAGAACTTAATAAATAATTGTTTTTATCGCGATGTAAAAATTGATAACATAAGAGGACAGTGTAAATTTTTTTGCGTACATTATATTACGCGTATCGATATATAATTTATGATTTGTATCTATAGTCTTAGGGACCTAACTTTCGATTTATTATTCTGTCCATATAGTATCGATAATGCGCTTATCGCATATTGAGAAGTGGCACGCAAATTTTAATTAAGTTATCATATAGTGCTATTAGGTCCTTATGGCTCTCGTTTTAAGGAGTTTATGTGGCTAGATTATTTATTCGGCAAAGATGTATGCTTTAGAATAACAAATAAAAGAGAAATATATATATATATATATATATATATATATATATATATATATATATATATATATGGCAATACCTAGTCGAGATTCCTATATAATGATAAATAAAAGATGAAATATCCTGTGTCTCCTTCTTTATATCGTTTAAGTTTCAATAAAGTTAAATAAAGACGTCACATTATTATTGCATGGCTATGAAAATAAAATATTTTATCTTTCGTTTTGTGTCACTTGTGCCCTTTCGCAGACGAAAGAGAGAGAGAGAGCGAGAGAGGGAGAGAGAGAGCGTAACAGAGACAAATGATAAGATGACATGATTCATGTACACTTCGGACATTTTTTTTGTGCAATAAACGTTAAATTTTGAAAAAAAATATTGCTCTTAATACATCACTCGGTGGTCATGTGGCATCAAAGGATAATATTCAGTTTCACCAAGATGAAACTGTGTTCGCACGCATTGCCCAACACACAAAATGGGATCTTATTTGAGTGCCAGATATGACTGTCGCGGATGGTTTTTTGTTTATTTAAAAAAATATATATATTTATATATGTAAAAAAACATTCCTTTTATTATACTGATCTCTGTCTATTCCTCGATGGCGCATTCGTAAGATTCGGCTATATGTTCTCTATTTACATACGTTCGAAGTTATTTCAGGCCAATATACAGTTCACTTATATATGTGTACTGCTCTTGTGTGTACACACTTGCTCGCATTTCTTTTTTCTGCTTCTTCACGCGTACAATGCTTTCGATATCAGCAAACAACAAACAAGGAGAATCATCAAACGGCAACTATGACCCATTACGAAAAATAACAACTTGATATGTATTTAATATTATCTAATAGATAATATTATCTATATAGATAAATTTTCGCCCCCCAAAATTTCATATTAAAATACATATAATTTATATCACGCAATGCATTAATTTGCATTTATGTAAGGTCATTAATTTCTCGCAAATTATCCATATAACACAATATATATTCAAGATATATATTAGTTATATAAATTAAAAATAAATATAAATCGGTGCAATACTAGAATACATTTCTCTACACAGATATTTCTAAGAAAAAAAATTTATTTAAATAACTTTTCACGAAAAAAAGTTCTCGAAGAACAGTATTGATAATTTTCTATTTTGCTTCTTCCATATATATATACATACATATATAAAAATAATTTACACACACACACATATATACATATATCGACATTGTGCATGCGGTAATAATTATAATACATATATTAATGAATTGGTAATAAATATACAGTATGTTTGACTTTTTAGCAATCAATTTATTAAAATCACTTTAATAAGTTATATTGTAACAGTGTCCGTAAGATGTATCATGTGTGTGTGCGTGTTTTTTTTTGTTTTTTTTTACTGTGTAGTTTTTTCACTGTATCCGATAATCACTTTATCTTTCTTAATTTTTTTTTTTGCTTTGTCATACAGAATTATTTCTAATTCTGTAAAATAAGAGTTTCAATAAAAATTCGTAAAATCAACAACTATATTCCATTATCTTAGCCATTTCAGAATATTAAATTACTATTTTATTCTCTCGAACTGATTGCGAGTTTTTCGGTACGTAAGATAAAATTGATAATTCCTTTTTCCAACGTTTCTCGTAATCAATTATTCGAGTTTATTCATAACTCTTCACGTCGTGGATATATCGGCAAATATAAAAGATTAACACAATTATTTTTTTTTTTATATTATATATGATAGTGCATTGTTCAAATGTAACTTGTTTCTTTTTTTTGGGGCGGGTAGTTTCAGTCCAACGGATCACAAGTTGGCGACTTGCAGCGATGACGGAACTGTCAGAATTTGGGATTTTCTTCGCTGTCACGAGGAACGAATTCTCAGAGGTAAAAAAATCTTTCTTGTAATTTATCTATGAATTTATCATATTTTTTTCATTTACTCAATTGCTTAAATGTTTTTGTTTCAACGTACACTTATTATTTTACATCTTTTAGTTTATCATATATTACTATTTTTAATGTATCTCTCTTATATTATAAAAATATTTTATATATTTTCTACCTTTTAAAGAATTTTTATATATAAGAAAAATGATAAAAGATAGATTTAAAATCATAATGTCTTTATTCTTCTTTTTCTATGTCGATCTATTTTTAGCAAATAAAAAGTCGATTCAGTATATTTCATATAATGTTTTTCTCCATAGGTCATGGTGCAGATGTTAAATGCGTTCATTGGCATCCGCAAAAAAGTCTAGTCATTTCCGGCAGCAAGGACAATCAGCAACCGGTGAAACTGTGGGATCCGAAGACCGGACAATCCCTGGCGACTCTGCATGCGCATAAGTCGACCGTGATGGATGTAAAGTGGAACGAGAACGGTAACTGGTTGGTGACCGCATCGAGAGATCATCTGTTAAAACTGTTCGATCTGAGGAATCTTAGCCAAGAAGTTCAGACGTTCCGCGGTCATAAGAAGGAGGCGTCTAGCGTCGCTTGGCATCCAAGCCATGAAGGTCTCTTCTGTAGCGGTGGTAGCGATGGTGCCATACTCTTCTGGCATGTGGGGTACATATCGTATGCTTTCGCTAGAGTAATCACTCGATTGCTCGGAGCTAAATTTGTGTATAATTTTTATCTTGAATTTTTTCAGAGCGGATAAAGAAGTAGGAGCGATAGAACAGGCGCATGATAGCATAGTATGGACGTTGGCTTGGCATCCGCTGGGACATATTCTGTGTTCCGGCAGCAACGATCACACATCCAAGTTTTGGACGCGCAACAGACCGGGAGACCTGATGAGAGACAAATACAATCTCAATACGTTACCGGCCGGATCGGCTGGCATTGACGATCATGAAATCGGTATTAGAAATATTTTATTAAAAAGTATTTCAATATATTTCAAATATTATATATATGATATACAGTTTACGAAAATATTTTAATCTCTTTCATCTGTTTTAGCCGATGAAGCGGCAGTGATACCCGGTATGGGACCGGAGGACAGAATCAACGCCGACAGTGAATCCGAGGACAAGAGTAGCGGAATTCCGGGTCTAGACCTCGATCATGCTGTGGACGAGGGCAAGAAGTTTGCCAACAAGAAAGTTCCGTACAGCAAACCGATACCACGAAACTTCCAAGCTCAATGGAATGAAATGGAGGCTGAGGATATGGAGCAGGTCGAAGCACTTAACGCATTCGTTAATCAATTAATAGAGACTACGCCGGGCGCTGTGCCATTGAACGAAGTCGCGCCCAACGCCATTATACTATACGGGAAAATGATTCCTGTGGAAAGTGAGTATTATATAAAGTGTGTATGTGTGTGTTTGAAAAATATGTATAAAGAAGCATTTTACGCACTGATGATACAGTGAAAAAATACACGTTTATTGATTTACTAATATACAATTGTGTTTTTTAGCGGATTCGAAATTGGCGGAGGCGATTAGTAAAGGAACCGAAGCCATAAACAAATTAGTATTCTCTGGTGAGATAGAGGAGCTACGAGACGTGGTGGGTCCACCGGATAACGTGGACGAGGCCGAAGAATACCTGCAAGATGACGGCGAGATCGACTATTCCAAAGTACCAGATATAGATCTGCCGCCACCCTTACCCAGCTCAAAGTTCGCGCAGAATCCTGAGCTGTTGAAAACGTTGAATCGCGGCGGCAAGCGTAAGTTCGATCAGCTAATCGGCTGGAGTGATGGCGGAGCTAGCGATCGTACGTCCAAGATCCATCAGCCGGTTTTCGGCGGTATTCCGATTACGGAAGATTCGCAGTCCAGCGATACAGATTTAAGATTCGGCAAATCCAATGCCGCGGAGGCCAACTCCTTCCAAGACGAGGACCACAGAAGAGGCGGTTCGCACGGTGATTCCGCGAGGAGTGGCAGTCGCGGCGACGAGGATCTGAGGTTCGGTAGACCCGGTTCGCGTAACGAGTACGAATTGTCGCGTGGCAACAGTTTCGCTGACAAGGACTTCCGCAACATCGGTTTCCCGCCTAAAAAGCTGCTGGACATGGACGATATGTACGACGAGCGGGATCGCGACGGCGGTCGCTGGACCGATGATGAGAAGAGCATGGGCGACGGTCCGCGCAAACCGGATGGCACGTATGCCAGCTTCGGTGACAAACGCGATAACGGCATAGCTGCGATGGGCCCGGGCGGCATGGGTAACAGCATACACGGCCACATGGCCGGCATGCCGCATTTGCAGGCGAATCACCATAACATGCAGAATATCAATCCCAACATGCCGCCACCGATACCGAGTTTGGTGCCACATCCTGGAATGACGCAACATCCCGGGATGCAGGGCAAACCACCGCATCCCGGTTTGGACGGCCCGATACCGCCACATATGATGCCGCATCATCCCAGTATGCACCATCCGGGCTTCGGGCCCAACGGACCGCCGCCGCCCGGTGGTTTCGGGCCCAGCTTCCGGCCACCGCCGAACGGTAATTTCGGGCCGAATCACTTCAGGCCGAGTCCGATGCCACCGTTTGGACCGAATCATCAGGGTCCGCCGCCGCCGTTTGGCAACAATTTTCAGGGGCCGCCTAACGCCTTCCGTGGGCCCAACGCTGGTCCCATGAACTTCGATCGGCCGGGCTTCGGGCCCAATTTTCGCGGCCAAAATCCGCAAGCTCAGTTGAACAATTTCAACTCTAATTTTGGCAACTTTGGCAAGAACGGACCTAATCGCGGCATGAACCGCGGTGGTGACAACATGGGCAGGAGCGGCTACAGCAATCGCGGTAGAGGACGCGATAACGATCAGTCGAGAGGGGGAAGAGGAAGGGACAATTATTAAAAAGGCTTCTTGGAACAATTATATTGGTGACACATAAAGTGGTACGTTACGCGAACTGTGCATTCACCGTACCTAGACGTCAAGGGTGATTAATTGTCAGTGTATAAAATATATATCATGTCGAACACCGTCGTTCACGAATAATAATCGCGAATTCTTGTATTCGCGCGTGTGAAAAAAAAACACTATTCGTGTATATATATATATATAAATGGACTATATACATGTATATTTTTACGATTCGCCCAGAAAAAGCGTGATAACGATTACTACGCTGGGCCGATTGCACTCAATACGATTTGTTGAAGTGAATCTTCTTCCCCCTCGGGAAAAAGGTAAACGAAACGCCAGTTTCGACTTTAATTATTCCGGATTCAGTCGATCCGGATTGACTGTGCGGTGCGAATCTGCCATGTATGAACAGCCTTCTTCGAAATAGGCGAAAAATTGTAATATATGCATTAGAGGGATCGAATGGAACACACGAATAGATTATTCCGATAGAAACTGTTCACAAGCTGCCTTGCGAGGGGAATTTCTGTTCCGCGTTTGTGGAGCTCGACAAATGCATGCTGATCGCGTGATCCCGGTAGAAGCACGAATGAGTACGATTGAGATTCCGCGTCCTTTTGTTTGTCCGAGGAATGTGAGAGAAAGAGAGAAAGAGAGAGAATGCCGGAACAGTCTATCTATTATTAATAAAAAGAAATAACATACAATATTCTTTGTTTTTTTATAAATCTTTATTTCGCGTGTATATGTATCGATTTTCTTTGATCCTTATAATGATATAAGATTTTAATAATCCAGCGAATATTGGAATCATGATGAATTTCAAAAGAAGAAAATGATTTATGTGTGCTAGTAAATGGAGCCGCGACGATAACGAGTTTTTATTACAGAGGTAAATGTAAGAATTGCGCATCATTAGCTTCTCGAGATCTGTGTTTTAAATCAGATTTAATTTTACTCTGAATTACGTTATTGAGTTAGACAAGTGGTGAATTGTATAATGTCATTGTTTCAAGGGATATACATATATACAAATATCTTGCGTTATTTATTAATCGTCAATAAATTGTTTTTTCATTTTTTTACTAATAACTCGTATTCGAAAGACGATATTAGATAAAGAGAGAAAGACATGGTTTTGATTTTTTTTCATACTCTATATATCAACCAAAATTTCCTTTCTCTTTTCATTTGCTGGTATTTAAAAGTTTATTTTTTATAGCTTATTTTTTCTCACCAACTCTTAAATATATATATCCTTTCTCATTTTCACTTATATAGAAAGAGTAATGTAGTGTATCTACATCACTTATATATATAGATTGCTAATGCTTTGCTCTCGCCGTGTCTGAGTGCAAAAAGTGCAAGTAACACGAACAGAACTATTACTGCCCAGCTGAGGTTATGTTTTTTAAAACAAACCATTTATGTATCAGCTGTTATTTCTGCGTAAGATAAATATCATTATCTGAAAATTATGGGTAAAAAGGGCAAAGGAGGAGGTAGCAATTTAGGGAAATCCTTGATCAAAGATCGTTTCGGATCCAGAAGAACCAAGAGGAGTGGTGAATCGTCTATGGTAAGATAATGGATTTTATTATAACCTCTTCATCCTCGAGTATGTCACGTGCGTCTTTCGTTCGCAAATATAATAAGATCATTGAATTTAACGTCTCAGAGAAGTTTCATACAATACAATGCAATCTGGTATTCTATCGTTTTATATATCTTTTCGGTTCTTATCGGAAACTCTCTTGCGACACGCTGATAAACTGCTCTTAATCTGCCACTAAAAGATAGTTTATTAATAGTTTATTGATAGTTATATTATTTATAGTTGTTTTTTTTTCTTTTACAGCTCCACACCTCAGAGATCAATGACGGTTACGATTGGGGTCGACTCAACTTGCAGTCGGTTACAGAGGAAAGTTCATTTCAAGATTTCTTGTCAACCGCCGAATTAGCGGGAACCGAGTTCAACGCGGAAAAATTAAATGTTAAATTTGTGCATCCTCACAGTCATGGCTTGCTCTCGAAAGATGTAATGAAAACAGTACTAAAAAAGCAGGAAGAAAATAAAGATTCCGTCAAGATACCAAGAAGGCCGAAATGGGACAGTTCTATAAGCAGCCACGAGTTACAGACACGCGAGAAAGAGGCGTTTTTAGAGTGGCGACGTCACTTGGCCACATTACAAGAAGTGGAGGGTTTAATGTTGACACCTTACGAGAAGAATTTAGAGTTCTGGCGACAATTGTGGCGGGTGGTTGAACGCAGCGATGTGGTTGTACAAATTGCAGACGCGCGCAATCCGCTTCTCTTTCGTTGCGAGGACTTGGAGCGTTACGTTAAGGAGATTGATCCCAACAAATTGAATATGATTCTCCTTAATAAAGCAGATTTCTTAACAGACGCACAGAGACAGACGTGGGCAAAATATTTTACAGATCTAAATGTACAGGTAGCCTTCTTTTCCGCTACATTAGCAGCAGAGAGACAGGTGATTCAAGAAGAGGAAGAAGATGAAGCGAGGTCAACTGATAAGGATGACCGCGATCATTCCGGTAACGAGAGTAAGAACAGTGGGGACGAATCGGCGAACTCGGAATTCGAGTCGGAATCTGAATACGAAAGCGCGGAGGATGGCGACCCCGACACATGCGCTGTACCTGATGAAACAAAAGCCGATAACAGCGAGCAACAAATGGAAACTCAACAATGTAGCGAATTGGAGAATTTAAAAATTTCCGCGACGGACTCGGAAATGAAGAAAATAATCAATTCGTCAAAATTACTAAACAGAGACGATCTTATAAAATTATTTAAAACGATTTACAGCGGTAATAAAACATACACAAACGGAGTGACGACAATCGGCTTGGTAGGATATCCAAATGTCGGCAAGAGTTCCACCATCAATGCCCTGCTCATGGATAAGAAAGTCTCTGTGTCGGCCACGCCGGGCAAGACCAAGCATTTTCAAACGTTGTATCTGGACAAGGATCTGTTGTTGTGCGATTGTCCGGGCTTGGTAATGCCGAGTTTTGTTTGCACGAAAGCGGATATGATCCTGAATGGTATACTGCCGATCGATCAGATGCGGGACCATGTACCAGCGATTACTTTACTGGCTACGTTGATACCGAAGCACGTTCTGGAGGATCTATATGGCTTCATGTTGCCTGTTCCAACAGAAGGAGATGATCCGGGTCGTGCACCGACCGCGGAGGAGCTTTTAAACGCGCATGGCTGTACGTAATCACTGTAAATCTCGTGAAAATATCATTAGACTACGCAAGATTGAAGAAAATTATATATATTTCTATTATAAATCCTATTTTTGTTGCAGACAACAGAGGTTTCATGACGCAGAATGGTCAGCCAGATAACCCGCGTTCGGCGAGATACATTTTGAAGGATTTCGTTAATGGCAAATTGTTGTATTGTGTCGCACCGCCGATGCTCGAACAGGAGTGTTTTCACGCATTCCCGCCGCGACGGCGGAATTTGTCCGCGAACAGGCACATACCGCCCCGAACAGTTCGCGTAAATCAAGGATGCGGAGTAACGGTCAACAACCTGGATCGGAAGTTTTTCCAGAACGTACACGTGAAGGGACGCCGTGGACCTGTACTACAACACTCTATAACGTAATGTCAAAATGTTCGTTTTATTTGTAAAGTCGCTCGTGTATATATAATAGATTGCGACAATAGTAATAATTTATGTAAGATCGATCAATGCGGGGCGTCTAAATCCAAAATCCTAATATCCGAATGAGGCTCGCACGCGATTGAGATACAATATGTACAATTGTTGGAACGTCGTGTGTGTATTCTCATATACAAAATTCATTCAATTGATACAATTATTTTTTTTCAGGCACGCAGGATCAACGGTCAGTTTAACAGAATCGACTGACGATCAGTCTGACAAAGTGAAGAAACCGTGGAAGATAATTAATAAACATGTTAATAAGAATAAACGTGAGAAAGCCCGAAGATTGTACGCTCATCTCGATCAACATTGAATGCGAAAAGTATCACACTGGTCTCTGCACTTCCCAGAATCTATTATTCTTTGTAATGTTAAACTTAACAGCTGTACGATTGTTCTATTATGTACGGGCATGCAAACGTATATGCACGTCACAGGTTTATAATCCACATGCAATCGTGCAATCGTATACGATATGCGTACGTGTATATATTTGTATATACGCTGAAATTAAATATTTTATATTTTATACTCTTTCATTTATTCTCTCGTCCTCCTTTCTCCCTACTGCCAATATCTTTTCATTTTGTATATGTTTACAAATTTCGATATTATTCTACAAACCCCGATTAATCGTAACATAATGCCAATTTGACGATATTCCTGGGATATCGCGACTTTAACAGTACGATTCCGCGAGAATAATCATTCGTTAAGTAGGAAGCACAAGCGGAATCCTCTGTTCAAATCAGAATTCAATCCACATGAGCCGGTGGATGAATATATACGCGGTATATATATATTTAAGTGTTATACACATAATTTAATTTCTCTTACAATTAAGCTTGAGGTTCGAAGAACACCAGGTTTCTGATGATTTTCGTAACGGTAACGGACTTTCAATAGAACAGCACGGTGTGCAATATTGTCCTCGCGAATTTAGACTCAAATTCGTGGAGTAATTCGTCTATGTCATTATCTAAATCTTCGCTATTCGCCAACTGAAACACACGAAAATATATTATCGTAGAGAAAACTTTCGAATGCATGGGAAAGTATATGATAGAGGCAATACCACTGTCACTAGCTCGCATATAAGAAACGATCCTACTGTGGCTTCTTCGTGGTTATCCTGAATATCGATATTGATTAAATGCGCTGGTTGATTATCTTCCTTAGTCCTAGATTCCATGCATTCAATTACTTGATCGTACACGCGCTCTTCACATGTAATTAGAATGTCGAACTTATCCTTGGACAATTGAAATCGTTCTGGTCTAGGTTTTATCCTACGATTCCGATCCAGCATATGTAATAAACCATTCTGTGTATAACTGCGTTAATTGTTAAGGAATGTAATTGTAATGAAATCTTTTTCGACAACAAAACTATTATCAAACTGTTTAAAATCTGTGTAGGTGCAATTTAATAGACTATAATTATTTCAAGTCACAAGAGCTTCTTATTTACAGAGAATTATATATATAAAAGAAAAAATATTAT